TTCCGCATTAAAAACTATTATTATAAAGCAATTAATTATTAAACTTTCCCACAGTGTACGACGGCTGTTGTAGTAGAGCGGCAGCAGCATGGAAAAATTAAATAAACGAATGCAATCTTTCTAAAAATATTTCGGAAACAGTTTCAATTTGGATGCCAACTACACCAGCTGCTTTTCAGCCCATGTTGTTGCGATCTGCAAGACTTGAATGATGGTAGACTGCTGGTTGCATTCCGACTACACTGGTTTTTAGTCAATATTGGGATAAAAGAAGCCATAAGTGGACTGCTAATTGCATTAGGCTGCTGCAGTAATTAACAGATAACAAATGATAATGAGTAGGTCATTAAACAAATAATGTCTTGAACTAAAATATCCAGAAAATTATACAGTTTTATATTATATAAACAGCATCCCCTAAAATCTTTTGACTGCCTTCAAGTTAAAGGATTCAAGAGCACAAAATTTCAGTCTGAGGTCAATCACCTACAGCAACAATAATATCTCTGGAACTAGCGACGAGTACTGGCCTTAGTTGAAGTCGCCTGGGAGTCAGTTAAATCTTAGGGTACAAGACTCCAAAGAACGCAAGCTGTTCTCAAAAGAAATGGCCGAGCTGACCCCGCTAGCAAAGGACGTGTATAAGGTGCTATCTATCGGCAACTTACAACGCTCGTGATAAGAGGGAACAAAAACCGAACTTGGAATGGCACGACCAAGAAACTGGCTCGAATAGAAAGAAGACTGTCGAAAATTTTTCTATTTCGTAAAAAAATCGAAGTTCAAAATATGGTCAATGAAATGATCTGAGATAAGGATAAAAACGCTGTTATAACTATCAAAACATCGTCTCGCGATGGTCCACCCGACAACCAGACCAGATAATTCGCATTTGGAGCCATGATTGTGAACCATTAAGCGAACACGAAATAATCTCTGTAATCTAGAAACGTAAAGCAATGAAACTCTCTGAATGTCTCCGAGATGAACTCTTCAAATGTTGTCCAACTTCTTTTCTAGCTTAAGATTCTGAGTTCCCAAGGAAGATAACAGGATGCATTGCCATTATTGAATTATCGAAAAAATGACTTACCACATATTTCCTGAAAAATATCTGTACTTGGTGTTGAGCAAGAAAATTGGTTTTCAAATCAATGTAATGTATTTCCAAAGTCTTTTCGACTAATTTTGCAATGATTTTTAATAATCAGAAATTTCATAAACTTTTTTTTCATACTGTTTTGTTTAATAATTTCGCGCATTTTTTCCACCCTCCTTTGGCAAAAATTCCAACTTTGCTAAAAATATATCAGATGCTTATAAGAGCGCTCATAAGATTTCCTATAAATAGTTCAACAGTCCAAGAAAAGTATCAGACTTTAAGCACCTCAAATTTATGCCTGATAGCCAGGCGAAAGATGAAAATTCCAAATTGTTGTAACTGAGGGCTTTCTTTCTGGCAGAGGCACTTTGGAATCGCCCTGAAATAGGCCTCAAAACGAATTTTGGCTTCCATATCTATCTTGCTGAATACATTCCTACAATATGACTGCGAAATGGAGAGGAAATTATCAAGAAGCCATCTGTTCCTGACCATTTTTTATACTGAGGTGTACCCTAAGTACCCGCCAAGCGGACAAAGCCTCGCATCCACCTTCGCTCGAATATCATTTGCATTAAAATATCGTCACAAAACGTGTGTGATGGTTAGATAATATTCTTTATTGCCCATCATAAGAACTGCTCCAGCGAAAATAGGAATCATAGAAAAAATCTCGCGATGGTTCACATTTGCGAGGATAAAAATACACTGTTTGCAATTTTTATGAATTTTTCAAATTATTAAAAAAAAATTTATTTACTTTTTCCATTATATTTATTAATATATTTAGTTATTTTATAGTGCACAGATTTATTTCCAATTTTGCAATGATTTTTAATAATCAGAAATTTCATAAACTTTTTTTTCATACTGTTTTGTTTAATAATTTCGCGCATTTTTTCCACCCTCCTTTGGCAAAAATTCCAACTTTGCTAAAAATCAGTGAAGCGAGGTCAACGAAAAACGCCGAGTTCTTTTTATTGCATTTTTTGCGATATTTTAAGATGAATTTTTAGTTTAAAATTTTCATCTTTCGAAAAACTTGAACTCTAAGCTTTTTCAATTCCTCGAATCTAATTTCTTCAGACTTCTACGGCACACTGCGAGCAGCCCCCCTCTCAGTCCTTTGCACACACGCCTAGGGACCATTCCTTGTTAAACAGTCTTCAGTTGTAGTGAATGCGTGACTGTTGCTGTTTTTATAAAAAAGGTACCGCCTCCTTTGATGCCAAAAAAATGCATCGAAATTTAAATCTTCGTTTGAATGTAGTTCGTTGAACTGCCTGCCTGACTGCATTTTAGAATCAGCAAATACTAATTCTCAGTTTCTAAAAAATCGCTCGAAATTGCGAATTTTTTTTGAAAGCGGTGTGTATTTTTCATTGTAATTTTTTTGTGTTTTTAATTAATTTTTTTCCCTTTTTCAATTTTCCATTTCTAATTTTTTAAAATTTTCGCAATTATTGGTTCTACAATTTTTGTTATTTTATATAATTGATTGCTTTTATTTAAACAATAAATTTTGAAAATTTCTTAATGGAGTATTTTTTCTTTCGTTTTCTATTCTATTTTCCGTCCTTCCTTAATTTTTCCTTAATTACTCACCGCCGTTTTGGCAGAACGCAAACCGCTCATGGCGTCGCAAATCCGAGTGGCTCCTGGGGACCCACCTCTAACTCTCTGTCCAACTGATTCACGGTGAAAGGTCTTCTTGACACGGCGTCGGCGATACGCATGGTGCGCAGCCCGATGATGCGTGCGGTGAGCATGCTGTATGGGCTTAGTCAAATGATCTCAAGGCTTGAGAATATGATCTGTGCCAGAGTAACTGCTCGAGATCTGTCAGAGGAAACGACTCTATGCATGCGCGACGAGATTTGAGCAGCGTGGAACGTCAGAACACTTATGGACTTTAAATGCTCTTTCTAAATACCGTGTGCTTTGCGGAAAAGCATTGACTTCTTGTTGCAAGCTTCCAGCATCGAAGAACTATTCACGTTGCACTCTCGGGATAGCCAATACTTCAATTAGATTGGTTATATCTTAAGCAGTCTCCATTGAAAGAATTCTGTACTAGATAATCGTTCTTATTGCAGCGATGAAACAGGTAACATTCGTGGACCAAATAACTTGTCCCAAGACCCTTCAACTCTCTCAAACTAAAAGAACTAGGAATAATGAAAGCATTTCAAAGCGAATTATTGAAACTGAAATGAATATCAGTGACATCTCTGAAATGGCAGATAAATACTGGTCTCAACTAAAGGTATGTTTCCGAAAAGTAGCCATTTCCATACTAGAAAATATTGGTAACAAATGCACTAATTGGGTATTGAAAGCAATGTCCATTTATCCGAAAAGGAAAGCACAAATGACCTGACGACTGGGTGTTTCGAAGAATTATAACGACAGCAGCAAGGCGAGACAGAAATAGCTGTTGGAATGATATGGCTTTGAAAGCTGTTCCGCCTACTTCATAAAGCAACTATAACTCAGAGAACAATCAGTGAAATAATATGATATAGTATTGCGCATGTTAAGGCTATTAAGAATCGTCTAAGGTGGAAGGATTTTTCGAGGCTGAACTTAACCACGATGTAGCACCTGTTATCAAAGATATAGCTGATTCTTTCGTTGAGGCGTTTATAATTGCGAATCGCCAACAGAAGAGGAAATAATTTCTTTTCCATAAGTTTAAGACCAATAAAATTCTACGAGAAGATGGTCTTCGGGCTGAACTCTTCAAATGTTGTCCATCATCCTTCATAGCACACCTTCAACGAATGTACTTCATGGTATGGAAAGGAGATACTGGAGTAAAGCAATTCTATTCTCAATTCCTAAGAGAGGCGACAGGATATACTATGACAATTACCGAAGACAATTACTATTCTATGACAATTATCAGCTTATTAGACAACTGCTATGAAGGATGATGGACAACATTTGAAGAGTTCAGCCCGAAGACCATCTTCTCGTAGAATCTGTAAAGTTTTCGCTTCCCTTCTACTGAATAGACTTATGGCAGTACGGGATAGTAAGATGCGCCCAAGCTGGATACAGATTGCGACGCGGTTGACCAGATATTACGTTAAGGAGGATGTTATCGCTTTAAATGTCGGCAACTTGCACTTGTTTCATTGATTTTGTAACCACTTTCAATTCGATAGAGCAGCTCTTTGGAGGATAATAGAATGTGACGGTGTTACCCAGTGCATCACAGGTCTACGTATATGGAGAACTTATCTTTCGAAATAAGAACTGTTGTCCATCAAGACTGCTTCTTTTCCCCTATAATATTTAATTATGCGACAGAGTGGATAAGGGACATCAATTGTTGGCACTTGAGTGGAGTGGTGGAGTAGTTCAGAACATAATATCGCATACCTTGGAAAGCGCTGTTCTATTAATTGAACCTAAAACTGCTGATTTAGTCCTTTTTGCTGATAGTTAATTATAGCGAAATGCAAATAATACGTCGACAAGTACAACGAGAATTGTGCTCAGGATCAATGTAAATAAAAGAAAATTGTGCTCAGGATCAATGTAAATAAAACATAACATCAATGGCATCGGACCGAACATCTCGGAGACATCTTACCCTTGCAGGCAGCGGAATCAGTTTAACCAGTAATGATGAGAGCTGTTAGAGGAAAAAGATATCTAGAAAAATTATATTTTAATCATACGTTATTTGTAATATACAAGAAATTTTGTACTTCTCGATTGCCTAATATAAAGAAAAGAAATGAAGAAATGTTCCTTGATTGCGTTTTATTGCTTCTTCAGTATTAGTGGTTGTATGATTTTAAATTGTAGTACATATATCATTGAATAATTTATTTGGAAATCGAATGATGCAACCAAGCAGCTGCATTTCATAAATGAGATATATGAAATGAGCGACAGAAGGTTTGCTCTTCTTTCAAGTTTTGAATCGAGTAAAAAAAATATTTTAATATATTAATTTCTCAAATAAGATTCATTCGTTAGTGATTAGGGATAGAATAGTTCAATAGCTTTTTTTCTGCAACTAAGATCAGTTGTATGATAGGCTCGTGTAGCTCTCCTTAATGTAAATGGACCTATCATTAAAAAAAGTTATGTGGTGACGCATTTCTGTTTAACTCTGATGAAGGATTCTTAACACCTAATAGGGAAGGGCGTCAGTTAACCTAAATTGTGATGTTAAAGGATAAAATTTAAACCTGTAATTTAAATTTGAAACTGATAATTAATTTGCAATAATTAATTTGAATTTCTTGCGAATTTTTTTTTCTGAAAAATCAAAATAATTAAAGTTAATTTCAGAAAAATAAAATTAATACTTGAACGCGAATTTGGTGCACATAGAAGGCAAAAAATTCAGAAAAATCTTCCTCATTTGCTTCATCATCGTGAAGTATTTTTTGATATCACTTTGGCTCAAAGATTTTAGCAATTTTTTATCAATTTAAAAACATGCAAAACTAAAGTTTTAAAGGAATTTTTCTCATATTTTTGTTAAATAATATTTTGTCTCTGGAAGTTTTTTTTTATAATCTCATTTTCATAATTTTATTATTTCTAATTTTCGATCCCTTTCCATTTAACGATTATTTTAAATTACTTTATTACTTTTCATTGTTTTTCAGTATATCATGGTTTTTTGTAGATTTATGGCGATTCTCGAATCGTCACAAAAGTGATTTGTGCAATATCATTGGCAGATCTCGATCATAATGTTGAATTTTATATTGAAGGTACCAAAAAGCAATTCGATTTATCCAGGTATTTAGTAGAATGTTTTCAGTGGAGATCTAAAAAATTCGAAAGTTATTGTATAGTTGAAAAATTATATAGTATTATTTGTTTAATCTATTTATTGCGTCGAAATTTGATCAGGATGAGGATGAAAAAAAATTTTTTTTCAATTTTAAAAGCCTAATTTACGATTAATTTGAATATAATACTATACAATTCCAAACAAATATTGATAACTGATAAAGCCGATAAGTTTTCCTTGAAAAAGAGAAAAAATTTCTCTAAGCAATATTAAAATATATTGACAATTTTGTCAGTTTTATGTATTAATTATTAAATAAATTTTTGCTCCACTGGTTCTAAATATGAATTGATCATATAAATTATCTATCAGTATTATAATCGATCCCTAGCCTTAGCTTTGAAATATTTAATCTCATGTTGCTTATGTCTTTTTTCATATGCTTATTATTAACATATAGCTCATGGCTTAGGCTTTGTTGATAATTTTTGAACAAATGAACAAACAATCCTGATTCAATATTGTAGTGAGTAGTTTCGTAAATTCGTATTATTCAATTATAACGCTTTATTAAAAATTCTGTGTATTTTATATCTTTTCACTATTTTTGAATTCATTAAAAAGATTGTTTTGCAGAGTTGCTGTCTTCTTAGGTATTTCACCTGACTCTAGATATATCCTGGCTATAATATCGGAGTCTAGAAATAGAGGTTTATTTACGAGACGTGAAGGTTTTTTTTAAAACCAAATTTTAAAAATTGCACTACAAATATAGAAGTTATACTTTAAATAATATCTGTACTTTAAACAATTTCAAGTGGTCGCCATTTATTTTGCTTTGATTCGCTTCACTGAAAGTAAAAAAGCGAATATGATCATTTTACTTCATTTTTGACATCAAGCTTCGTGGATTTGTCCCTGCTTAAGCATATGTTGGACAATGTAGATCTACCTAATTTTTATCACTGGCATTCTACTTTTAATGATTCGTTGCATACGAATCTGCATTTTTGGAAATTCATGTTTGAACTTTTTTTAGGAGAAAACGATAGCAGAATTTTCTTAATTAATGAAGTTGCTAATTATCGATTGCATGCGGTTCGAATTTTTTCGTATCTTTGCTTTTATTTACTTAAAACTAAAGTGATTTGCTTGTATATTTGGTTTGCAGTCATTTTATTCGGTTCATTCTTATCCTTCGAATGCAACAAAAGTTTCCGCTGTATTTGCTTGCGATTCTTCATTTGTTGCAACTATTTCATTTAAGTGCGTTTTTTGGGCATTTTATTCCTTAATTTTTTTTCCACTATATTTTAAAGATAAAATTTTTTGATTTTCATAGGATTTTTATTTTATTTCCAATTTAATAATTTCTAAATCTCTGATAAATAATTGATTTTCATTGGTAGAAATATTTAGTGATGGTGCAGTTCGTGCAGGAATTCGTGAACCCATTACGGTTATAGCTCATATTAGCATTATTTCCTTCAAGTTCTCTTTATCAGTGAATTATGATACTTTGTTGTGTTTTTCAAATTATCATCCTTCTTACTTTGAAAAGAAGTTTTCTTTTGTGTTTATTCTTTTGCATTATTTTTATTTTTTTAATGATTTTTATATACGTTGCACTATTTCATTTATAATGAAAAATCAAAATTTTTTTTTTTTATTTTTGGCAAATGTTTTCCAATGCTTTCATTGGTTCTGTGATATGTTTTTGGCTTAATTAATTGTTTATGAATTGTTTCCATATCAATTTACGCAAGAAATATTTTGCTATATGTTTCTTTTATTGCAGGAATTTCTATATTTTTTTGGTATTTAGGCTATTTGTACAAAGGTTGAATGCAGGAATAGTCGTCAATGGCGGTGAAATAGTTTCAGCGTCATTATTTCTCAGGGAAATCATATCAATAAATCTTTTTCCGTTCGTATATCGAAGAGTAGTTTCTTATTTTTTTTAAATTTTCTAAAACTGTCAGATTAAATAATTTTTTAAAGAAAATTCTGAAGAAGAATCAAGAATTAAAACGCTTTTCATTTATTTGCTTTCTGCTTCAGCTTTCTTTCTGGTTTGTATATAATCTTTGGGTATTAGATTTAGAATAGAAATTTCTATATATTGTGAAGAATTGTGGGGTGGAAATTTTTATAAATTCCCTGTTGAGCTGGCTCTTCAAATCCTTAGATAATATTCAGACGCTGCTTCCTTCCGTTCTCATCGTAATTTCCATAATTCGCAGTGGAAATCCCCATTCTAAATCTAACACTCAACAATTAGTGCAGGATGTAAGATTCAGATATAATAACGTAACTAAAAGGCGTATTCAAGTAGCTGACATTGTCTACAGGAATCTGCTGAGTATAGATGAGAAATTTCACAGAAAGTCGTGAAGAATAAGAGTAAAACCAAGATGGAAGAGATGTGGAAAATGAAGGACACAATGGTCTCATTGATGGAAGGAGTATTAGAGTTGTGACCCTTAAATTGGAAAATTCAGAATTCAAAAGTTCCAACAGATTCTAGATATTCTCTCTAGAAGAACGTAACGCTGGTAACTCAAAATACGCAGAAATACTGTCAACCCTTAAATATATATTATGATATGAATGGTTAATGGAAGTAGAACAAAGATATTAATGGCTAATGATACAGTGGTTGCTGTCATTTCGGTCGGTTGATTCTACTTCTCGCAGAAATAAACCTGTCTTTTAGAAAAAATCATGGGTGATGCTGGCAACATGCTGGACACTTTCACCTATACTTTCATCGCCATGTGTCTCCGACTCCCAAGCAAAATTTGTTTGGTCGTATAAGCCAATGTGATTAACCCAAAATGATGAGGCTTTTAGAAAATATTAATGAAGGCCGGTCGTATGTGATTTTTCTTCCTTTAGGAATATCGGATCATGAAAGGTGTTGTTCCCATGCAGGAAGTTTCATCTTTCATTCCTTCATTTCAAAATATTACAATAAGGGAAGCAAGTGCTATGTATCCGGCAAGAACTTACTCACTTTTAAGCGATTGTGATTCGGGTTTGTCGTGAAATTCTCTTGTATTTATTTTTTGCTTTTTATCACTGAAATATTCTTCTCTAATTTTTTTCCACCATTTAAGGAACGAGTAAGATGTTAATCAATAATTTGATTTTTCTTGTTTGGTGGTAATTCACTTCAATGTCTCTATAAATTCGGCGATAGATAAACGATTCACTTTTCAGATAAATTTAGTTATGACGGTTCTCAAGAACCATTATTCCTTCTTACTACCCATATACATATTGAGCAAATAATTTATTCTATATTGGATAAAGAAGAAACACGTGAAAACCGTAACCTTAAGTTCATAAGACTTCTTGATTATGAGGTCTGATTCATTTTTTAATGTATGCATAATATATGCATCTGATGCAAATGATAATCGTTATTAAATAAATATAACTGTATTTTCTATTGTATTTTCTTGATATATAAATTTCTTTGAATTTTTTAAATATTTTTAAAATTAATTTTAAAATTATTTTTTACATTTATAGTGGTTTTTGATTAGCCATTTCCTTATATTTATGATTATTGTTTAGGCTATTTAATTATTATTCTTAAGGTTGATATTGTTGATGCGATTTCGTCACGAGTATTTATTCTCGTAAGATCTCTTATTATATGTGCAATGAACAAAGATGATCCGTTGGGAAAGAAATGTGAATGTCGTTTTGAAATTAACTGGGATGTTCTAAATGGTTAATACATAAAATTTAATATTTAAATTCAGATTAATTTTTAAAATTGATTATTAAGCGTAATAAAATGGTTAATTTACTTGAAATTGCGAGTAATTGCATCGTTTCAGAAATAAAACGCTGGCATATCAAAAAAAAATCATTCTTTTAAGGAGTATATGAAACTCACTGGATAGGACTTCAGTTTTTGGATGGAATTAATACAACTTGGTTGCCAAAAATTCTTGATTTATCTGAAAATATAAAACAATCCAAATTATTTACCGACCTCGAAAATTGTTAGTAAATTCGATTTTTATTAAAAATAGGTTTTAATTTTTAATATTTTTAGTGTTGTTGATTAGTGTTTAAAGCCATGTATTAGTTGGGAATAGTATTTATCTTTATTAGGCGATAGTGCCTTTTGATAAAGGGGCATTGGTGGATTCGAACCTCAACTATCGATTCTCCGTAGCTTGTTAATTATCTTGCCACTGAGCCACACCAATGTCTCCTCCGATTAAACCATGTATGTTACTTTTTTAGTAGATATGTTGTTAGTAGTTGGAGTCCAAATGTCACGATGTAACTTGCTTGTCGGAGGTCCTCATTTCGAGTTCCAGTAATTATTAAATCTGATTCCGAGCAGAGATACTAGCTATGTCATTACGGCGTTTCGGATAACTCGGGGCGAAATGGTTTAGTAACAATTGCCGTGTCTGGAAAAGCTTGGTCTGATTGAGTGGAAGTCGCTAAACAGTCATAATCGATGTCCGCCTCTAAAGAAAAGAAAATTCTGCAATATCTCGGTCATAATGTATATGCTTCAACTTTTTGTACAGATAACCATAACAAGGGCATCATGATATTTGGAAAACATGTGGACAGTGGTAGCTTGGTTTTTAAGGTCAACAAGTGTTCTGGCGTTCCATGCTACTACTATGATCAAACCTCGCAGAGGATACTCATTTTTTTGGCAGATCTCTATCAATTACCCTAGTTCGAGAATATATTTCCAAGCCTTGAGATTGTTCGTGGACATAATTATCGCATTTACCACGTGGTTCGGAGAATCATGTATACCAAGATCAGTCTCTTCCATCAGAGTATTGAGGATGGAAATTTTTGTTTCTCAAAACTGAGGTTCCCAGGAAATTTTCACTTGTTAAACTTTGACAGTGCTATTAAAAGGTCTCAAAAACATTTTAAAAAAGTAATAAATATTACATTTATTACATATATCATCAAATATTTGCAGGTGTAAGTGTACGGAGTATTGGTGATCATGAAACTGCATTACGGATTTTTATTCCACGCTCTCCATTTCAATCAATTCTACATTAATTGTATTGATATTTTGTTTTATTAGTAAAATATCACCTCTGTGGACGAGGAAAATATTTAATTCATTAAAGGATGATAAAATTGGGATCAATATGTAATAAGAATATTTTCAGATGGGAAAACTACAATCAAAAATGGCTGTATTCTATCCTACTTGTTCACTGTCGTTTTCAAACCTCGGTAACATCTTTTGGTTACATTTGTTACGTAAATTCCCATCATATTTCTCATTATTCTTTCTCTTAGTTACGTTCAACTCTTTCATTTTATTTTCCTGAAGGTGGTGGAAGTACCAAACTGTAAAAAAGATCCGCTTAAATTAAATTGGAAATTCGTTGGATATTAAGTTGGGAATTCGCTTTAATGGGTAGAAGAATTAATGAAAAAAATATTTTTCGAAGAAAGAATAAATTGCGAAGAAAGTGCATAAGCCTGTTAGATGTTAGAGGGTCTTAGGGACGAGATCAGTTAAAAGGGCTATGACTGGCAAAAGAGAAATTGATGAAATTAATAGAAGCATAAACGGGTTGAAGGCCTGATCATCGAGCTTGAAAGAAAAAAACGATGAGGTCATAAAAAAGATCCACCTTAATAAATAATAGTCCATATTTGTTAATTTCTAATTCATAAAAATACAATAAGGCTGGCTGTTAAGTAGACACGGCAAGGGTGATTTACGCCAAGGGTTAATTGGAAAAATGGGAGTTCGAAATCTATGGGTTTTGGGTGATATCAAAGGTTTTAATTCAGTTTTGCGACTTTACAACACTTTTAGTGGATCTTCCTATGTGGATCTTTACATGCTATGTGTTTACCTGATGTTTCGTTTAAATGATATTGCTTGCTCCTTCAAATAGATAAATAAGAAAATAAGATAAATCTTTATTTCCTTATTATTTATTATATCAAGCATAAATTTTTATTTATTTATTATATCAAGCATAAAAATTTAAAAATTTTTAAAGTTTCATTTTCTGCTCAGTTATTGAATTCAAGAGAGTATAAATATCTGGCCTATTCTGTGGATTTACTTTGAGCATTTGTTCTATTAATTGAAGAGTTTCTTTCCTGAATATCCTGAAATGAATTTTGAATTGTTGGACAAAAAACTTAGTGGGAAAGTTTCTTCAATATCACTAGCAGATTTAGATCACATCACTTACTGTTTGTCCTTTGGGAAATTTAGTTTTTCGGATTGCACAGCTAAAGCAATACTATCGCCTCGTTCGTGAACTTCATCGAAAGGTGAAGAGAAAAAACATAAGGCATATAAAAGACAACCAAGAGACTAGAAATTAAGTTGTTTTTCACTTCGCTTAAATTTTTTTCTCTTGTTTTTTTTTAGCACATCCATTACTCCATTAAATCATTTTATAATTTACCACTGAAATCTAACCTAAAAAAACGAACCCAAATATCTAACGAATGAGTGATCATGGCGCCAACATCACAAAAAAATAATTCAGGGGCTCTATACGCCATCGAACATAATTCCGCACTCTCATCCTTAAAACGAAAATTTCAAAAAGCGCCATTTTCATATAGAGCCAACATGGTCAAAAAATTAAATAAAGAAAGATGGAAGATGGCAAATAAAAATGTCAAACTGTCTGAAGGTTTTTTGCTTGAAGAAGATTCGAAACAAAAGGAAAAAAACAATTCAAGTTCATTTACAATAAGTTCATTTACAATTTGTCGTCGTGATTGCTTCGAATCTTCAATAATTATCGGACACGCGCAAGATGAACCAAAATCCATTAAAACAGCGCGATCATCTTCAGAGAGCAAAACGTTAGCAGGTTTAAGGTCTCTAAAATACGATCAACAACATCAAATTTATGCGTGGCGAAAATTTTTTAAATTTAAATTCCCTAATGGCATTAAAAAATAATTTATTGATATTGCATTTACTGATATATAAAAAATCAGCAGATGCAAATAGTGAAATAAAAAAGAATAATAAAGAAACCAAAAAAAGTACCTATGAGCAATAGGTGGACATAGCGAGTGCAAAAAAGAAACTGCGGTACATATTTGATGAAAAAGACGAAGGATTCGCCCTTCATCAATGTAATTTCTTTCAGCTCGCCTTAGTGTTAGTTCGTCTTGAAGACTTCCACGCTAAATTTTAAAATTTACTAAGACTTAATAAAATCAATGATTGTTGTAAATGATTTCCTAGCAAATCCCCCTCCCCCCAAAGCTTTTTAAAACTCCAAGAACCTTAGTTGATGATTTCTGAAGTTTCACATGACAAACTTGATTCGTTTTTTTTGATGTTTTTTGATATTTTATTATTAAGTAATAGTTTATTTCGACTGAGGCAACAAAGTTCTAAAATGTTTTAAAATTGCGCACGAAAAATATTTAAAGTGCTTACAAAACCGATTAGTTCATCATACATTCATCATACTATGTATGTTTTTGCGCAAATATTTTACCTTACCAATGGACTGTAACGAACTGAGATGAGATGAACAATGAGATCAACAAATAATACGAGACATACATATATCAACAAATAATATCAACAAATATTATAATGTACTTTCTTAATGAAACTAACCTAACTTCTTAAACTAACCTTGGAGATAGGATGGCTCAATAGGGTTATTGCTAAATTCTGAGTGCCCGCAGGAGTAAACCCGTCCAAAAATCCAGATGATGCTGGCGACTCACCTGTAGCAATTCTATCACAAAGGGGCTCCCCGGCATATTTATCCAGTGAGACAAGACAGTGGAGCAAGTTTAAGCAATATTTGTGAGGACTCTTAAAAACTAACCTTGTAAAATGGAAATACAAGTGAGAAACGGCAACTGTTCGGCAAATCGTTTTCTACGTAACATTCCAAACGTAAAATATTTTCTTTCGATGTAAACTGATTATGAATTTCAATTTCACGAAAAACCCTTTCCACTTCAATGTCCGAATGACAGTCAATTCTTTTCAATGCCCACTTTTGTTTATTTTTTATTTCTTCTATCAAAAACAATTGGCTGAATCCACTAAAATCAAAAGACATATTATTCGAAATTGAAATTCATTAAGATAAAATATTTTTACACTTATTATATCATTAGATAGTTGAATTTATTTACTAAACAGATTACCAAATAGAAAGGCAAAAATTATAATCGCATTAGAATGGCTAGCAACCCACCTGTACTTTTTCGAACTTGAATTTCTTCCGGGTGAACCCCTCGCAAAAAATCATTAAAATCATAGCAGCGCGGCTTACCTAATGCTTAATGGCCAACCAGTTATATATTTATTTTAAATAGGGAATTATAAACAAAATCTCTAAAAATAGCTAAGCATACCCTTCTGCAAATTTCCGCAATATTCTAAATTGACGATTGCCAATTTCTAAACTTGCATTGCTGCAAATACAACCAAAAACACTCGAGATGAATGCCATTTGTAAAATCACATCAATTTAATAAGATTTACTGTAATGTTAAATTAAATGAAACTTGTAAGGTTATATCACTTGAAACCACAAAAAACAATCGCGAAAAAATAATTGTTCAAAAATAATGATATTTAAACAAAGGAAAAGTACTCTTTCTAAAGAAAAAAACTTATTTTCTTAAAAACTTATTTATTTGCTTTTCATCTTCTTTAATTATAATTGCGTAAATTAGATATTTAGAAAATATAAGAAAAATTAATGAAATATATGAAATCAATGAATAAGAAAAAAAACTTGAGATAAGTAAAAAATAAGGCACTTGAGAAATAGAAAACATGGCTGAATGAAAGAATTAAAGCTTATAATTTTTAGAAATATCAACAAATAAAAAAATTTGAATGCAAATAAGATTATTAAAAATTGGAAGCACCACAGACATTCCAAATAATAAAAGCGATAATTTATAAAATATTAAGAAAAAATTATTGAAATGAAAAAACAAAAACAAAGATTTTCACATTAAAGGAAACAATAGAACTACAACCGAATATTACTTAGGTTGTAATTTTAAATATGGTACAATTTCTACCTTTCGATAAATATGCCCTTAAAAAATAAAGATGAATCAATTAGAGATAGCAATGATGGAAAAAGATAGAAAAATACTAGAGGTCTGTTTTCATCTACAAGTGACTGACTGGCAAAAGCTTCATCTTACTAGCTGGTAAGACAAGTTTAATCAGAAATGATAGGTGGTAATAACTAATTAATAAAGCAAAAATATTCACAACTAGATGATAGAAAATAAAAGATCAAGTCTTTTATAATCAATGCAAAGACAAATGAAACTTGTGACAAATGCAAAGACCAAACCAGTTTGCAGAAAACTGAAAATAGAAAAATTATTACACCATCATTATAGTTTTATAGCTCATCCTTTCCAGAATTAACAAAACCTATAATTTCAATTTCTGATGCTTCAGTGTCGCTTATATATCCTTCTTCGTTTGTGTACCTTTCTGGCACAACAATTGTTGGATACATTGTATAAGCTGCCAAATTTCGAATAGGAAAAGTATTTTTCCATGTCTCATTCGGATGTTTATCAAACATTATAGGAATATATTCATCGACAGGCAAAAGCCGTTGGAGAGGTCTACCATTGAGCAATTTTTTTGCTCCATCGAAATTCAACAAGTAACCAAGCGTCCAATATGAATAACCCACTGTGCTTAAATGACGATGACCTAAATATTTGAAATATCATTAATACAATAATATGTTATGGAATACCCTACAAATAAATATTGAACATGAATTTCTATCCACCTGATTTTTTTCAACAATTCTCGAAGACCGATTTCTTTTATCATACCTGGAACCCAATATTCATCCGTATTTTCAAGGCGTTTCCTTCCCAAATAAATAAAATTCCAGTACATTTTGGAGTTATCCAAGTCTTCGAGCACTTCTGTCAGTTGATCTGTAGCATTTGTAAGAAAACGCAAGTCATCTTCAAAAACAATTACTCGTTTTAATGAATTCTCGATAATATCTCGCCAGATTCGATAGTGGCTTAGAAAGCATCCGATCTATAATTGATTTTATTTGAATTTAAAACTGGTTCATTCTTATTATTAACATCCATAAAACGATTTTAAATATGAAATCACTATTTATATTGAAAAAATAAAAAAATATCCCAAGTGGGTGGTAAAAATCATCCTCTACAACTTGGGAGTGGGAGATTGTGGTTCTAAGCAGAACTTTAGCTGTTCCAGGCAGTGCGCTCGTCTGGATAAAGATTTCTGACATTCTTCCTAAAATCTGCTGGTGGCAAAGTTCCTAGCGCTACAATTATCTTTGTCATTGGGACTGTTTTAGCCTTCTTATTTCCATATGTTCTCAAATTTCTCTTTCAGTGCCTGACATTTCTCTAACTTTTCATATTGCCTTTCACTTGGTATTGCTATTGCTATATTGCTATATCTATCAGGTTTCTAAATCTTGCCTATTACTACATCTGGTTGATTGGTCAATACTTGTTTTGCATGGAGGAAGAGTCCCACGAGATTTTTCCCTTATTATTCTTCATGATTTTCTGAGCAAGTTCCCACTTTAATCTTGAGAGGATATAAACCATATACAGAATAGATAATCCCGCAGATGATGGCAACTAATTGGTTAGTATATGTTGTTCCTCGCATTTTACATTTTGGACTACTATTTCTGAGGCATTTTTGATCTTGAACTGCTATGGTCAATGGTGCCTTTTAGTCTAGCTTTTTCCAACCACTGATGGGAATGTCAGCTACTTGTAATAACCCATGAAAAAACTTATTTTACCAAGGTACTTCTTCTGTTTAATCTTTTTCCAGTATAATACTTCAGACATTTTCTCAGCGGTTCATCTTTTGGTACTACCTTGCTAATATATTCCTGAATGGGTTTCATTCAAGACAGTGGCTTATAAGCTCCATCTCTCTTCTCCGGCTGGTGCCATGATAATATTATATATACGTGTATAGATAATATATGGTAAATTATCAACGTGACTAGAGGGAATAAATATATGGCTAGAGATTAAAATGAAGAAAAATTTATTATAGAAGAAGAGTGAAATTACAAAGTAAAACCCAACTTCACCAGTTTTCATCGGTCGTTTGTAATAAGGATCTTCATATCCAGGTAGAAAACTGATATTTTTATATAAATCTTCGGAAAGCAAATTTGAGCCATCTGTGGCTTTCCAAATAGTATATTCGATTCCCAAAAGTTTCAAAATTTCTTTCATCTTTTGAAGCCTAAAACAAAATCATTTTTAAGACGTTAAAAATATAAAAGGTAAAAGTTGAAATATGTGTCCATTCATACGCTATCCATCATAAGATTATAGCTATTCATATGCTATTCCAAAACTAAATCAATCGAAACAATTGCTACTGGTTCATACTTAGTATCTAAAAATTTTTTCTCATTGAATGAAGAAAAGAAATGCCAGAAAACCAAGAAATAAATAATAAAAATAATTTGAGAAAATTTTGCCATTTACAATAAAACAATTTACCGTTCACTTCTACGTTCTAGATTTATTAAATAAATCTTATCCACTCCAAAAAGTGATGGTTTCGGATACTGGGGTTCAAGTATATGAGAAGTAATTATAGGGACGGTACCATAATCAACAATTAAATCAGCCAAAAAATATAAAAGCTGCAATGAAACATTATTAAAAATTGCCACTTTTTTCAGTTTTTTAATTTAAATTTCTTTAAATAAAAATTTTAAAAGTATAAAAAATTAGCAATGCAAACTAATAAACCAATGCAGTTTGTATGAAATCTGGAACAAACAGACTCAAAAGTTTCTGGAAGTCGAAAATTTAAATTAAAGAATTCAATTCACCAATTTCCGCCGAATATTCAGCGGTTGTAACCAATCCATTACATAACCGTAAAATAATTCATTATTGACAAATAACGGAATATTCATGCGAGAAGCAGAAAGAGAAAAAACATCAAGAGGTGTCGATGAATGGCTCTCAGGATAAAAAGCTAGATTATCTGGCGAAAAAGTCAAATATGATGAATCTAGTTGCGACAAATCGATGAGAAAAGGCTCGATAATAGAATTAATCTGAAAAAAATTCACATCGTAAAATATGATAACAATTTGCATTTCATCATAAATAGTTTTTCTTCTGGTCCTGTAGTTTTTGAATACTTTATTTCTACATTCTTCAATATTATACATTATCCTGTTCTCCTGTTTTACGACTCATAATCGTGATTTCTACAGTGCAATCTACACAGAGAACAAAAATGTAGTTTGGACGCTTGTAAAATTTATTATAGGACAATAGATGGAAATCTGCGATGCAAAAATTATCGCTTTATAATCAGCTGCAATTTATGCACAAAAGAAAGCAAGCATTTAAAAACAGGATTCGCCTTTATCACTTTTCAGCAAAAATTTGTGCCCTTCATGCAGATTTTATTAATATTATTTATTTCTCGCATTATACCATTGTATTTTGAAATGTAGCGTAATAAGTATTTAAACCGAAAATTACCATACTGACAAATAATTTCGCTACACTTCATCTACATTAAATTTTTGATAAACTTTTGTTAATGAATGATAAGTTGAAACAGATTTAAATTATAACTTTAACATGCTAGTGCAATCTAGCTCGCTGTTTGGCTATTCTTTTAAACAATTGTCTTAGCCCATATTTGAGTATGGATGGATCCTATGAATCAACTATTTCGTTATAAAATTTCCAAATTAATAATGGTTCAATTGATATCCAAATGTGGACATTTTTTGACTATTTACCGATCAAAAATTTTGTTAATATTTGTGTGATATAATTTGCCTGCAATTTTTCTAAATTAAATTCAAGATTTTTTAAAATTTGGATAATACAAGCCTGTCATAAAGTAAAAAAATTTAAACTGAAGAAACCTGAAGTGTGGCGATTTCTTTGCCGGAATTATATTCTTCAGAAATATAAATTGATGGACTCAAATCAAATGGGCCATGAAACAGCGGTGAAATTACAACTGCTTTTTTTTTCATCAGAGTTTGTAAAATATACCGACTAATTAATAAATGTGAACCCTGGCAAAAAAGACATTATTCAGCATATCCACATCTCATGAAATTTAAACTAATTCTGAAAAAGTAAATTTAAAAGCAAAGTAAATTTAAAGTAAGGTAAGTAATTTAAGTAAGTAAATTTAAAGTAAAAGTAAATTTAAATAAAAAGTAAGTAAATTTAAGAAATTAAAAATAAACAAAATTGTGCTAAAGAGAAAATTTAAAGATGAAAATCTAGACTTACATGCAAAAAAAATAAATATTTGGTAGTAGTTCGAGCTTTCGTAAGAGCTTCTTCATACCAGTTATCGGAATTTTCGGTGACAATTGCTGAACGATATAGTGGAATCACCTCCTTTACCCACCTTAAATTCAATTAAGGACTTTCTGGACTTTTAATTATGCAATTTGAAATCTATGTTAGAACAGAAAAAGAATTATGCTAAAATTAAATTTTTGCAAAAATGCCTAAAACATATGCAGATATCCAAATCATGTATTTAACAACCGTCTTTTTATCAATTTTATCAATTTTTTATCAATTTTGGATAAATCACTAATTCTATTCTATTTATTAAAATTCATTTTACATTAAATTTACTGACTCTCAAAAAAACAAATTTTTAGGTATGTTTCTCTCCTAGTTCTAATCTAGTTCTAATCAGTTTTTTTTTAAAGAGTTTTCACTGTTACTGGTTAAACTTCGCTGGTTTGTCGCACTGGACAAATATCCCAGGGAGTCCCTTGGCGATAGAAGTATAGATAAGGCATGTGCCAGCATCACACAGATTTTTGTGCAGTTTACTCCTGCGGTGAAAGAACCCTAATATCGGCGCCCCGAATGGAGCAACAACTCACTAAGCCACTGCATCCCTTGTTCACTCCGATGAACATTTCCTAAAATTGCAACAATATAGAGAAGATTAGAATGGCCCCTACGAAAGGATGACACGCAAATCTGCGAAACATCCCAAATTTTTTTTCATTCGTGGGTGTCATAATATTCAAATTGCTTTTAAAGCGAGATTTTGCAATGTTTTTATAGCAATAAAGCTTATAAAGCAAAAATTTCGACATACTTATTTCAGTCAGATCAGTGTTCGTATGTTCGAAACATTATTCGTGCTTCGCTATTTTTTGCCTTATTCAGTTTTATCTCGTCATTTTGTTGAAGTACGAGTAGCAATGAATATTGAAAGGGACCAATCATTTAAAATATATGAATGTGATATGAATTGTGGTAAATCACTAATTGATAATGAAGAATTGATGGAATGATTTGGCTTGAAGCGTTACATGTACTATACGGTGCACATATGCGAATGTAACGCAACGATGTGGATATTCGTTTTTCCTCGTTTCATTATCACCGATTCATTTCGAACTCGACTCGACTCGATACAGCTCAGCTCGGTAATAATTCGGCTAGGTGCCTATTACTGTGTTGTCTATTCATATTCATTCGTGTGTATAAGTAAGTTCTAATCAGTTAGATAAAAATAATGCTAATAATATTTATTTTTTATTTATTCGTAAAAAGGGCAATAGATTAAGAACAATAGATTTAGATTTAAGATTTATAGATTTTAAATAATAATAGATTTGAAATTGTATGAGGAAACGTGTAATGCAGAAACAGAACAAAAAATAATACCTAAAAAAGACAGAGAAGTGAATCGAAAAGAAAATTTAAGTGAAAGTACTGGCAATATTCCTTACTAATTAATTTAGCTATTTCATTAAATTTAGGAGACGAATTTTAATAAGCAAGGGTGGAAAGGATGGGAAGTGTTGTATAATGACTTAAAAATACAATTTAGAATTTTGGATGATTTTTTGACCATGGCTACTACGAAGAATAAATCTGAGATATCACCAATAACTAAACCAGCTCATTAATTATGCTACTTTAAGATTATCGATAAAAATTATGGGAAGATAGGGTGATTTTAAAGCAATATGGAAAATTTTAATTTTTTTCAGTAGATAATTCTTTCATTAATCCTTGTTAATCAAATCAGAAAAGCTGAAAAATCATCCAATTTCTCATGTATAACAATCTTAATAATCATCAACACAGAATTTAATATTAGCAATAGAAATACTAATATAATTACCTAGTGGTGCACCAGATCGAACAAGAGAGGGCTCTGAAGAATTATTAATATGAATAGCTTAAAAGAAGAAATCTAAATAAATAAACTCCCCACAATACCCGTCCTAATTACCAATTCCTTAAGAATTTATAGCAATTCATTATGCAGAATGGTATCAAATGGGTTAACGAAAATGAATACGAAAATGGCAAAAATTGATCAATAGATGATCAATCATAAAGGTTCAAAGAATTGAGTGATGGCAAATATGTTCTTATCATGCATATAAATTAAATCATTGGCTGTCGCCAAATGGCAAAACAACCTACAATTTAGGGCCCGCAAAGTAAATGCGACCCCTTCCTTCCCAACGAAAGCATTAAGAAGTTGAGAAAAATAGGCGTTACAAACCATTACTGAAATTACGCAAGGAGACATGCATTGGAGACTTCTCGAGACAATAAAAGATAAAGAATGGAATAAAATCATTCTCTCCTGACATGCCAGTTTGGAGGAGGACATTATTTTGCCTCAGGTCTTAGATCTATTTTGTGTAGTTGTGTGGTGTTGTATATATATGCATATATTGTTTATTATTCGTAAATAAAGATTTAATTACACAAGCTTTAGATTCTCACCTAATATTGCCCCTAACAACTCGTAGTGATTTTAAAAAAGGAATTTCTGGTTGTATTATTTGATTAGATAAAGAAAATAAAACCGCATAGTAAGCATAGAGTAAATCTAAATGAAAACTTAAATGCGAAGGAGATCGAATCTTTAGAAGGAATTTTATCTTTTTGGAATTCGTGAGTTCGCTTTCATATAGGCTGCAAGAGAATTTTATATTATAACCATATGAGTTCCTCTTTATATTATTAATACATACAACAACACTATGAAGGTGTTTAGACAAATCAAATCAAATTAGCTATTAAAATCTCTGCAAATCAAGAACGAAAATAATGCAAAAAGATTTCCCAATCACGATTACTACCTTTGCTTATGTGGATAGGAGTAAATCGATCATAAAAATTAAATCCGACTGTTGCTGACCCATTGTACCTCTTCCCCAAGTTATTCTATGGAGAATTAGCTAAATAAAACGCAAATGGCATAACATGCTTGATATCCTCAACTAGGAGGATCAGTAAGCGAACCGAGCTCCCACTTAAGAAAACTGAAATGCCAGCTCTGCCTGCATGCGAAGAGGTCTTGGCCATGCAAATATCGTATGAATACCGCTTGCCTATCGGAAATCCATCTTCACACTTCTGTGTCCAGAGCAACAATTATGCCTAGTAGTTGAGATAAGAACTATTAATGTCTGTATTCCTCAAGGAAAAATGCATTCACGATTGTCATGCCCGATCAGCTAATCTCCAGTCGAATGGAATTCCATTAATGATCGGTTGATCTACAACTGGCAAGTTTTGCAATATTTAGCCAGTTGTTTATGCTTCTACTCGCGGATGATTTGTATAACAATAGATTCTGTGGTGGGCTTATTGATTTGGTGGGCAACAAAAAAACGGCCAAATTGTGGTCTTGGGAAACTGAAATGCCCGTAGAACATGAAGCTGTCCCACTGTTTTCTGTGGCTGACAAGGACATTAAGGCCAGGTAGAGCAATTGAGAGTCCTTTTTCGCTTTGTTGAAAAGGATGGATTTGCCATCAATACTTTTAGTATTGATTTAGTATTGTTACAGAAAACATCTAGTCACATCTTGCCAGACAATCAACATTCACTACAGAATGACTATATTTTGGTGAGATTTCGATGGAAGAATTTTATATTAGATAATCATGCACAACGAAGATGAAATCGGCAACTTCCACGAGAGTGTTGTCATTAGCCAAGATCCGAATGAAACTGACCGGAAAACACAGCGTCTCCCAAAATCTTTTGACTATTTCAGGTTAAAGAATACAGTGAGAATTACTTCAATCTGAGAAGCACCTAAAGGATCTTAACTGTATTATCTGTGGAACTACTGAGGAGTAATGACCCCAATTCTGCCTGCAGGAGCCCAGCTAAATTCGCATGTATTTGAAACACGACTGAGTCTCAGATGGAATGATATGATATGCAGATAGCAATTCGCTTATTCGAATAAATGATAAGATGGCCTATACAGGAAATAACTGGAACGCATTTAGAGCCATACGATTGCAATTGGCAGTCGCCAACCTAGCACGAAATAATCTCCATAATCTATTAGTTTAAGACCAACAAATCTTCCGAAAAAGTTTAAAAAATTCAAATTCTCAATATGATCCACAGTATACTTACAAAAATTATATTGCTGGTGTGCGAGAAAGAGCAAATGCCATATTAATGGAACAAGACAATTCAGGTCCTAATTTCCAAAAAAGATGAAAGGACACATTGCGACAGCTATCAAGGAATCAGATATTTCAAAATATTAATATAAAATATTTCTGTGATATTTCTGTGACTCTCTCTTCTGGTAATAGATTCATGGCCATGTGTCAGACCGAATTTAAATAATTAGAACATGGCTGACTAAATTTCGACGCCGAGAAGATTACTGTTTCAAGTAATCTACCGTTGTGTGCTCAATTGAATTCGATTGAAAAAGCGAAAATTAGACAACACAATAGTATTTCTGAAAAGATAAAACAGATTTATTGAATATTTTGGTGCGTTATTTAAGGAAATGATGACACTTTCAAACCATGAACCGATATATGTCAAGGCCCACTGCTCTGTTGGATAAGGCAGGCGAAGTGAGCGCTTGCCACCGCTCAGAAGTACAACAAATTAATACAAAACGCAAAAACCACTGCTGTTGAATGTACCACCCAACATCAAGCGTTAAATAATTACATCTACCTTTGCTCAAATGTCTTTAACCTTCGTCATCCGGGCATCACACGTTTTATGCTTGTGGAGAATATATTTCTATAATCTTCCACAAATCTGCTAAATGTAACTGCAATTGTCATTTATATTTGTAACCTTCCTGTTTCTTTTTTTACCTCGTCATTAAGTTCTGCTATTATTTTAGATCTTTTAACGAAAAAATTTTCTATCATTATCGACTTAATCCGAAATCATCAACTCCTTAAAATAACAATATATGAAATTAGCTAAATTAGAACTTACCACTTTACTTTTGTTGTGGTTGCATCATTATGTTGACCAATGTAGATATCAATTGACATACGATCCTTTGGATAATCAAGATTCTCGATCAAACCGAAAAAATATGGCATAATATGCGAATCATCATCAAATCGTATTGCCAACATGACAAGTGGATAAATATGACGATAATCACCCTCCACTGAAATCGTTCCAAGCAATGAAGCAAAGGACACTTCCACAAAAAATAGGCAAGAAGCTGCAGTTTTTCCCATTGCGCTGACCAACTTTCAGGGCTTTTCTAAATCATAAATTTAGATTTAAATGAAATTATCTATATTCCACAATATTTCACAAAAATGCAATAATTACTTTTCAACTGTTTCTGAACCGCATTAAAAAACTAAAAATTCAAAGATGTCAAAGACCACTGCATTTAATTAAAAGCGCTTTCTAACTGAAATAAATGCAAGAACAATCAAAATTCTTTCTTCAAATCTGGAAACAATAATATAGAAAAAAGAAAATTATAACAGATAACATTATTCCTCCCAAAAGACCACAGAGATCCTTTTTTCTTTAATGCAAATTTTTGCAAATCATTCAACAAATTTAAAAATTGATTTGAAATAGAATTTTTACATAAATTTATTCACCGTATTTTCCTAAATGAAATACAGAAAGAAAGGATGAAATGAATGACTTGACGTTATATTATCACGAAAAGGCATATAATTTTAAGTTATTAGAAAATTGAACACAAAAATTAAAAAATTAAAAACCTGAAGAAATAATTATATTCAAATAACTGAATGGACTTCTTTGCTCATAAAAATTTTCCTCTCCTTTTTTAAATTAAATTTAACAAATCAGAATAAGAAAATCGAAGATTACGAAGTAAAAAAACTACCTACCCACTTTAGTAATAAAAAAGACTCAATTCAACTCAATTATTAAGAGCTAAATTAGCGATAATATAGTAGAAGACATAAACATAATTATTCAATCACATATCACGCGAGATATTCGTATAGATCATATTCTCCTTCGATCCTTTGAATATATTCTTTCTCAATCAATATATCAATACATTTCTTAATCATTGGCACTCGAGGTTTGAAACGAGGTGTGAGCTGAGCGATTACCTAAGAAAAAAACGAGCAAAAATTAAAATCATATGGAAAAACGAAAAGATTAATCCGCAAAAATGGATTAAAATGAAGATAAATTAAGAAAATGAACCTCGGAAAGAAGCTGATTATGTTTAAGTCGTTTTCTCATCTTCATGATTCGAACGATAGCTGCCTGAAAAAAAAGCAAAGTAAAATAAATTAATAATCTGCTGTACGTAATGAATTATTATATTAAATTTATAAAATTAAATAGTACGAAACCTGTATGATCATTCTTCTATCATCATCTACAAATTTTTGTATCTCCACGGTCTCTTGACGAATTTCATTCCTTGACATTGCTTTAGATAAATCAATTTTCAATTTTTTGCTGAAAAATTGATATATTAAATGGAAATGATCTCGACACGGTCACAAATGATGAAATCGACTTCACAACGAATTTAAAAATCCAAAGGATATTAGTAATATTAGAAGAAAAGTACTGGAAAAAATTACTTCGAAAATGACCGATTGAGTTCAAATATTGCTGTTTTTGACAACTGAGTAATCGGATCAGAAAAATCAGTATCTACTTTAAGAAGATCAACCTGGAAACAGTAATGTTAAGCTAAGGAAAAATTTATTTTGTATTTCTCAATACTAACTTCAAAAGAAATGCTGCCCTTAAGGAAAAAGATTAAAAAAACTGAACCACAAATATTCAAACAAAAGAAAATTTGAATTTGACCTTAACCATTGCATGCAAAACTGGCAAAAGTTGTTCCTGTTTAATTTTCGTTCCAATAATTAAATCGCCGAATGATATTGCAGTACTATCATTATAAAGCAGTAAAATAGCCATTTGTGATGTAGAAGCCTGCAATCGAAGCAGTAAATTCCTTTAAAACTAACTTGTCTTGTAAATATGCAACATGAAGCAATTAAGAAATTCATTATTAAATGTAACATTATTCTTAAATTTTGGAAGAGTTTAAATTATGGAACGAAACGTACAATGAATGTATACTTCCTGTGGAAACAATTAGTTATGAGTTCTCCACGACTTAAAGAAAATAGCCAAGTTAATTTGCGACCCGTATGCTGATCATGGTAAAATCTGTAGAAGTTAAGAAAATTACCAAAATCAAGAAAAGACCAGTGCAAATACAATTAAATTTGGTCATTACCAAGATTCAGCCACTTTTTCTCGAAACTCAATTCAAATTCAAAGCCCGAAATATCATAATATAAGACAAATTTTCTAAATAAATTTTTTTGAGTCATATTCTCATAGCAGTTCTAACAATTTGCAACTATAATTTTTTTCTTTCCTTATGAAAAAAGAAATATGTATGAAATATGATATATGAAAAAGAAGAGATGTAAATGTGAAAAGTAAATAAATAAAAATGCAAGGCCAAAAAAGGATATCAAAAAAAAGAAAATGTTGAATGTTAAAAGAATAAATCAAAAAGTGCAAAAACAAAATGGAAGTTGAAGATTAGAAATATAGAACAAAAATTTTAAAAATATGTATAATAAAGATTTCTTTAATAATTCATTACTCGGAAAAAAGGTCAATGCATCGACCAAATTGCCGAGGTAGATCAAATATGTATGATGCTGTCAATGGCCAAGCACCTGCTCCTAGTACCATCACTGAAAAATCCAGGCCAACATTCACATGTGAATTCAGCAAATGTGCTTTAAATTTCTCGGTAACATCCTAAATTCATTAAATAAACTACATGAAGACTGAGTGTTGAATTTTTTTCACAGAAAGCTGCAAAATTTATTACCTTGTTGCTTTATAGCATTAAAGGTATTTTATTTATTTCATATTTCAAAATGGCATTAAATACCAAAAACAAAAGTATTTTAATAATGTGTTTTTAAACTTCTTATTTTTCTAAGTATAAATCGTTTTCTTTTGAAAAATAAATATTTTATTCTTTATTTTATTGAAAATTAAAAAAAATCAAAAAAATCTAACTTTGCTAAGATTCATATCAGTGAACATTCGTTGCAATTTATTTGTATATTCAAATCCACACATCTGCTTTAATTTTGAAATCATATTGCTTTCCGCTTCTGCACTCTGACTTTGTTCCGTAACCAACCGTTTTGCGAACATTTTAATGTAAAACTTTTGAAACACATCCTTGTCTTCTACATATTTGAAAACTACCATCTAAAAACTATAAATATTTCTTGGTTCGCAATAATTATAAAATAAAACGCCGAAAAAAAAACCGAATGAGAAATGGAAGAAAAATATTCCCAAACATACAATATTTTGTAGCGCTTCCTCTATTTCTTCTTCTTCAGGACTTTTCAAATTTTTCTTCAATACTAAATCGCAATAACGAGCAAGAAGTTCCGGACTCTTCGAAGCAGTCTTAAATTAGTTCGTTCATCAAATTATAAACTCATAAGAAGGAAGATATAAAAAAATAATCCCCTTATTGCCCATTTAAATCAGATTTAATCACTATTAAAAAAATTTTAAAAAATCCGTTACTAAACCAATGAAAGATTGTCCAGTTATACCAAATCTGTAACTATATAAATGAAAAGCAATTATAACAACACGTAACAAAACTTACATTTGCTTTCTTCGTAACAGCATTTTTATTAATAAATGTTGTACATGCTTTATCAAGAGCTTGTACGAATCCGGCATCACTTTTGAACGCTGCAGATGCCATCTGACTATAACGTTTATGAACTTCTAAAATTTTGGCGACATATAGCTTTGGATCCTGTAAAAATTCATTTAGAAAAACGCATTAGAAGAAAACTATAATTGCTAAATTAAAAAACTATAATTATTAAATTAAATGAATGATTTAAATAAATTAAATGAATTTGAATTGAATGTTTTTAAAGGAATTTAAATGAATTGAAAATGTGATATTAAAATCATTAAAAAAATGAAAATCATTTACATTGATGGCAATATCAGCTACTTTATCGATAACAGCATCGCCCTGCCGACCAACATGTTTTTCAAGCGTACTTTTCAATTCTTGTAATCCATTTTCAACACGTTCACACAAAATATACATCAGTGCTAGATATTCATCCTAGAAATTAACGAAGTATATTGAAGATAAATTAAGAGCATAAATTGAATTTGGAATGTTAAATTTTAGTCAATTTATTCCATATATTTTTGATGAACCTCAATTTTTGATGAAAAAATTCTTTTTTTTTGAATTTCCAAAGTTAAGCCAATTTAAAAAATTTTTAAGAGAATATGCTAACATTATCAGTTTCAAGAAGTTGTCCAAATTCATGTTGAAAAAGATCGAGCTGTTTAGTTATTAAAACTTTCTCTAAAGTATAAGCTAGAAGAGATTGTGTCGACTCATGAAGATAAAGTTCACACCGATTGCGTTCCTCTTCTAGCCTCGTTTGAACCTAGATTGTAAAAAGATTGTAAAAGACTAGTTTAACTAATTAAAAGTATAAGATTATTCCTATCACATCTCTTATCACGCAAACAAATTTGATTGAATCCTTAAATAATTATAATCCATTTATGACCATTAAATCAATACTATCGATGTCACTGTCACCATGCTCATTTTTGTGAGCACCAATAATCAAGGAAAACTATATTAAAGAATTTAAAGCTGTAGATAAGGGATGGATAATAAGATAAATTCCTATTAGAAGAGGAAAAATAAAAGAGAAAATATGACCTTTCGCCCAACGAAAGGAATCAACATACGCTAATTTTTTGATGATTATATGGTCTGACTCATCACTTTTACTGCTCTTTGCATAAGTTTTGCTTTTTCTCACTTGAAAACCATCAAATTTTTCTATCAAAAACTTTTCGCATTATTAAAACCAATAAAAAATTAAATATTTTTTGATTTCCCGCTATTACCTGCTCAAAATACAGCAAAAGAAATTTACTTTTTTCATATAATCAGTGAAAGGATGCTTTTGCAGAAATTCAGATGATTCTCTGGTGAAATACGCTTCAGTTTCCTCAAGGAATTTGTTCTCAAATGCAAATTTATACACATGTAACCTCGCAACACGTTGAATTGTTTCCATTTTTTTATAGCCTTCTTTTGAGTCATCTCCTGGCGTTATTCGATCCGTTGGATGGATGCCAAGTTCAACTGAAAGTTCAATTGTATTAAATAATATGGGAAACAAATGAAAATAAACAAATTCCAAAATAAATTTAAAAAATGTAATGATCTAATCGAGGAATCGTGGAATCACTCATAGTCATAAAAAAAAACTCATCATCAAAAATTTAATTGTTACAAAATTTATTTATATATATATATAATTTTATATATAATTTTAAATTTATACATAATTTACATATATATTAATAAATAATATATATAATCATTAATATATAATTTTATAGCCATATATAGCCATTAATATATAATTTGTCAGAGGCAAAATGACAAAATGATAAAATATGAAAATAAACCAACCATAGCAATTAATAACACCACTAATCAATCCAGTATTAATCTTCTCACCATTACGTTCTCGTTCGATAAGTTTCAATACTTCATTGGTAACAGTTTTACGCAGTTGAGCGAATAATACATCTCTCCATGTCACTAGCGCCAGCTAAAAGATATATATAAAAAATATATAAAATATATATATATATATAAAATACAAAAAATACAAATTTATATAAAAAATACAAATGAAAAATAAAAAAATTTTCAAGAGGCATCATCAACAAATTACTTATTCAAAGTAAAATATTAAATACAATAATCGACAAAAAATATTACTCAAAAATTTCACAGAGAATAAATAATTTAGAAATATTTAGAAATCTTTGTGAATCCAAACTTATTTCAACCACACTAGAGAAAGGAGGAAAAAAGAATTTAAAAATCTTGTAAGCCAATTTTTATATTTTATTTCACTTTTATATCATAATATTTAAAAAAAAAACTTCATTGGAAAGAAATAAAACAAACCGCGTATATCTCATAGACATCTGAACACCCTTCATCCAATTCACGTTTTACCCAATGACGATTTAAATAACTGAAAATACCACCAACGACTTTTGAACTGAAGCGATATGAATCCCATTCTCTCATATAATAATGCAAAACATCTTCACCATGTAATTCCTCTCCTTTCTGAAAGATCAAAAAATTCGATAATAACTAAATTCGATAATATAATAACTAAATTTTTTGATCAAGATTTTCATTTGCCTTTTATTTTTTATTATTTTTCATTGCTATACTACAATTACTTTAACATTTTATTAAAAAAAAATTTGAAATTAATTAATACCTGTAATAGAAATTCAACATGTTGCGAAAAAAAAACTTTTAACCGTCTATACAAATCGAAACCATATTGTTCGCTGCTATTCTTCTTTAATAATTCATCTGTGGTACTATTAGCTGAACTAGTTGCAGGCATTGTTGATGGTATCCGTATAATACGATTAGAATTCGTAGTACTTCCACTTAATGATGACGACTGAGAACGTGTGCAATAATTGTAAACTTTACTGAAATTTTACATTCAATCAAATGATAATATCGATTGTTTTTATTAAATTAAATATTAAAATATAAAATAAAAAAAACACAATATTTCAAACAATCAAAATATATTAACTGGCTCAAAAAAATGGCAATTATAGGACATAAATAACTTCATTCAATTCAAATTTCAATTCAAATAACTCAATTCAAATAAATAACTGAAATATTTTTAAGATATGCACAATCATTAATAAGACATGAAAAGTTTACCTATAGAGAGCCATATACCGAGAGGCTGCCATTGATTCTCGATCATATATTTGTTTGAGACCAATAACAAGTTCGCTCCAAATTCCATTTGCCCTTGTCTCCTGTTCATTACTCGGTTCGATCGTAGTAGGCATTTCAATTCTTTTACGTTGCTTTCCCGGCTTCATTTAAAATTCCAATTTAAAAAAAAATTGCTCCTGCAACCTGCAATATAGGAATTTTTAATAATAATAACATTAAAATTTCTAAAATTATAAGAAAAACAATTCAACTAAAGAAAAATGAAAAAATTACGAAATTGCAGAAAATTTAATTCGATCAACCAATAGGTACAAAATTAATTAAAATAATTGATTCCCAGATTTCTCAGAAAATCAAAGTTATATGCAAAAAAAGTATTTTTCCGATAAAAAAAGAAATATAAGCGAAAAAAATCAAGATCAAAACAGATTTTAATTTTCGAAAAATTTATCAAATCCAATCAATATTAATTTTTAAATAAAACCATGAATAATATCCTTTTTACTAGCTTTTCTTTTCAAAAAATTTAAAAAACTAAATTATAAAAAACAAATTTTAGTTTGGAAACTAAAAACATCGGACATCGATTTTCTTCTCGGACAACAATAAACCTTTCATTAAAGAACAATATAAAGCTGGGGACCCAATTGTACTTTTATGGCCACTTGAAACTCTGGCAAAAATTCCCAACCGCTAATAACCATCTCAGTTAGCCTAACCAGAAATGATGAGCGCAAACCACTTACTTTAAATATTATGTAAAATTATAAAGCCTAATTACTTGAAGTGATAATAAGAAACTTGAAACTTCTTATAGAATAACTGAATATTCTGGCCTTTTATTTATTTTATATACCAGAGTAAAAAAAAAACATTATAGTGAAGGATAGAAAATGATAATGTAAAAAGTAACATAAGTAAGAGACTAACATAGCAAGAGAAATACGCTGGCGGAATTCGAGTTTGTAGTCTCCCGGCCTAGTCTTACTTTTTTGAAAGTGGTAAGGAAATAACTGCGCGCAGTTAAAGGTTGGAAAGAATGTAAGGAGAAAGGGAAAGAAACTGAGGAACTGCTAGGAAACACTCAAGAGGAGAAGATGGAATGTAACGACTTTTCGGAGATGCCGAAAAGGAGAGAAATTATAGGGTATAAGAGAAGTGTGAATGCAACATAGTTTGTGGAGGATATTTACGAAATATAAGAGAGATTAAGAGGATATCAAGATACTACAACGCAGCGGTTCCAGCAATTTAAGGAATCGAATTGTTAAGGATGTATATTTAAGTGATTGCTATATAAAGGAGCAAGGAAACAGATTCGAGGCAACAGGTGAATATAACGGAACTTGAAGAGCTGCTAAGGGGCCAAAGCGTGGTTCCGGGAGAATATTAGGTAAATGCAAAGCATTAATGGAGTGTGGAGAGGTAGAAAGCGAGCACGATGCGACTGAGGCCACAATGATTTATTAATGATTTATTTCAGAGGCTGCAAATCTGAAACCTTAAGGTTCGTGCACAAAGATATCTTACGAGCTTTGAGTAAAAATAGATAAAAAGCAGCTGATTAAATAGGTTCGAAGCGCAGAACCACAGAAAAAACAATGCATCGCAAAGAAACAAATAAATATATTAAAAGATGGAATAAAACCTGACATAGTGACAATAATGACACATGAAACAAAAAAAGTAATCTCCGTTAGCGGACGGAACCAGCCAACCACTTGGCAACTTCTAAGCTGAGTTTTAGACATGGCCGAATCTGGCTCGCGTTGCGTTTGGCTATACGCCAAGTTATAAATGGAGATTAGGTGGCATTGAGTTAACCGTGTCGTCGAGGTGGTGCTGACTGGGATATTACCTAAGAATGGGTGCGTTCTGTGTTTGACCTGTTTCTTCCTGTTTTGTAAGTGGCAAAAGTCTGGCTATGTTACTTCCTCTCTTTGCTTATTATTTTACTATTGCTTTTACTATCAGCCATTTTTTTTATTTATTTATATGAGCTAATAAGATTTTGGATTTTTCGAATTTCCTTCTTCCAAAGAGGTTTTTTCTCGTTATAATTTCAAAGTCTCGGTTTTTGCCATAATCCTTCTCTTTCTCATAAAACAAGGATGTTATAGAGGGGGCCAAGGGGTAAGAAGAAAGAGGGCACTGGCAATTGTCGACTGACGAAACATTTTTTTTTGGGGTATTTTTATGCCAGCTAATGTCGTAAGATGGCGGAAAATTTCGATGATATATCCATTTTTTCCTAGAGTCTTGTCTTCATATTTATTGAAACTTCAGGAAAGAAAAATTCACTTTGAAGTCATTTTGTTGAATATACGTTGACCTCGAGCAACAACAGCAGCGAGAGAAGCATCTTTTTCCTCTTTTATCGTCAAATTTCGTGGATTATAAAGATTGGAAATATTTCAAAGAAAATATTAGGTAATTCATTAAATATTTTTAGTTTTAGAGAAGTAATAATTTGATAAGTAATGAAAGTGAAGTAAAGAATAGCAGTTGATTAATCTAATAAAAATAATTTAATTAAATAATTTAATATTTTAAAGATTTCTTTAAAATTATTTCCTTAAATTCTTTAAAATTTAAAATTTTAAAATTCTTTAAGAAAGAAAAGAAACGATAAGAATTTGAAATAGTGAAGATTTCATAAAAAATTTTTATTGAAAAACAGAGTAAAAGTACCGAAAAAGAAGTTTTGCTCCATCATCGATTTTTATATAAGTAAACAAGTGGCTATGCTGCAAATATATATATATATATTATCTTGAAATGATTCTGCGACGAAAATATCTCATTGCAGTATTAAGTGGAGTCACTCAAACCAAAAATGCTATGTGCTGTTAGAAGATGAAAATAACTGTATTAAATATCGTTAAAAATCTTAAATCATGTTTAATTTGTTTGATTTGCAGTTTTTTTGTGCTTCGGTTACGTGGATAGCACCGACTCTTAGTCTATCTTTATATTCTCGTTCTTTTCTATCGTTTTTATCTTTGCTTTCATCATTTTGCAGTTTTCGCGTTCGTGTTTTTCTCATTAACTAATACTTCAATTATTTATCTATATAGTACTATGTGTTTGTTTTTTGTCCTGAAAAAAATTCGTCCATTTCCTCCAAAATCTATTAAAACTACTAAAATATAAAAATCCCTATTAAGTACAATTTGTAAAAAAAACAATAGATTGAACTGATCTGATTTGGTTGTCGATTATGGACTGATACTTGCCTATCATAACTTTATTTAGTAATAGTTGGACTTTGAAAGAGGATAGAATCAAATGATTGGAGAAGATTTTGAAGTTGAACTTTTCGACAACAGTATTTGATGAATCAAAACCACGAACAATTATAATGAAAATTTATTAACCATTCTCAAATTTAGATTTGGATAATTAAACGACATTATTAAAAAAAATATTTACAAAAAAACTCATTGAAAACATTAAAAATATATAAAAGTATTTGATATAGTAAGTTCCTGCAAAAAAATGACGAAGGAATTTTATTATCTTATTATAAAAAATAAAAAAAACGAAAAAATTTGAATAAATTTCATTTTAACCTTAAATGGGATTAATTGGCACCAAAGGCGACAATCAGTAAAGGATTGTTTTACGATATTTCATGGCATTGATACTCCAGTATCCTCTTATGCCTCCGTTAATATTCCGCTTAACCTTTTACAACTCGTCATATACTCGTTTATAATTTTCATGGGAATTTTATAACTTTTTTACCCTTTTCTTACCTTAACATCGTTTGAAGCCGACTAGTTCTCCTAGTATGTGGCAAACTCCTCGTAATAATATTATAACTTCAGATTCCCCTTGATCCTTTTTAATATTCCGCTTTGTTAAAATCATACGATGGTTTAAATTGCTCGATTAATTTCTTCTTTTCGTGTCATAACACATTGCAAATCTATTTGTAACCTGCCAATATTTTCAAGATCTGAGCGGGCTCACCCTTTGATTTTCCCACTCTCATAATCATTTTAAATTCTATTTCCACTCTTCTGCTGCCTTCACCCTCCTATGCTCATTTATGCCCTCTTAATATTATCTCCATTCTGTGTTCTTAACGACTTCTTGTATTCGACTTCGCAATATGTTTTAGCGACGGCAATGGTTATAGATTATGAAGTTGAAAGAGTATAGAATCAAATGATTGGAGAAGATTTGATATTCTCAAAAATAGCGCTAAAAATTCGAGGAGAGAGAGGATATTGGGAGAATGAATTTTGAAAAAATATCAAGCCGTTACAATGGATATATTGGCCGTTCGTTGAACGCATCTAATATATGTTACAGTACTATTTTTACAAATAATGAGTGAATCTCGAATATGCAATCATCTTTTACTGCTGTGTATTCTGTCATGGTTCCACTCTTGCTATAAATGAGGTTCATTGCTGCTATAGAAGGATTAATATATGCTTGCAAAATTTTAAGATTTTGTGATTTTAGGTTTGGTGTGTTAAAATTTTTCAGCCTTAAGCGGTCGTTGGTTCACCTTTTTCACGTGGCCTAAAAATATTTGAGACGTTAGGCACTGATGTATTCCCTAATAGAAATAAGAAATAGAATTATGACAAAATAATACTGCCCCGAAAAACATGATTAAGGCGTCGACCATGGTTTACCATAAAATCGTCGGCACATATTTTTTCATGGCGGTTTTTTAAAAAAATATTTCTGTGATATTCCTGTAATACGATCAGAGGAACGTAGTTTCGTTATTCAAATGGCAAAACTATATAACATGCGAATATGCGAATTCAAAAATTTGTTCGGCAATAAGAAAGTAAAAACGATCGAGTAAGTTAGCGAAACAAAGGATGGAGATTAATTGAATTGATTTGTTAAATTTTATATTCTTTCTAACGGTTCGCACTATTACTGCTTAGGCTGGCTACAAGGCTAAGGCGTTTCCAAGCTGCCCCATCCTGTGCCTATTAGATACCATTGAAAGTAACGAAATCAACCTTCCTTTCCACCGTCTAAATCTATGTTTCACTGGACATTCTATGCGCTCTGAATCGCTACTGAGTATTCCAGTGCAGATTTTGATTTGTTTTGATCACTCCTTTCTTTTGGTGCCATCCATCACGAGGCTATTTATATTGCATGGAAAGCAATTTTCTTTCATATCTGGTTAATGTGAAGTAACGTTTCGCTGTCATTTTTTATTCAGAAACATGAAAGTAAAATAAATTCATCACTATATTAATTACTGAAAAAAGCAACGGTAGAATTATGAATATTTGCATTCGTTTTTCTTATTAGTGCCACGAAATGGATGGTATTTATATTGTTAGAATGGAAAGCAATTAAAAACATGAAACGAATTTCGCGACTGGTTGGCCTTCTTTCCAGCTAACTGAACTATTTCTAATACGTTTAGTAATTTTAAAATTGTTTTTAATATGTTAAATGTGTTTTATTACTATATTTTAATATATTTAGCAGTTTTAGTATTATAATATTATTTTTGTTTTATTTTAGTGATTGTAATATCTTAATAACTTGGCATATATTGTTTGACTTAAGTGGTATTTTATCTAAAATAGTTTTTAGTTAAAGTTTTGCATTTTCCACAGCAGTGCAATTGATTGCTAATTTTTTAAATATTTTAAATAAAATCTCAAATTACCATGGAAACTATTTATCTGAAATTTAATAAGATTTGGGATATTTGGGCTAATTTATTTAATTTATATTCTTTCTTGAGGCAAATTGTTTCTGAATTTATTTTTTATTTCTTTTTTCGGTTTTTTTCAGTTAAAAAATATGAATGCGGACAAAGAAATAACTGAAAATGCGAATAAATGTGGGAAAGAAAATATGAAAAGTGATGTTGAAAATATCGAGGACGATGACAGAAGTTCTAATGGCGAAATATTCGATGAAGGAAGTGAAAAAGATGGCAATCAAGTCCCATCAACAAATAACAATGATGATGTGAATGTGGATGTGGATGAAATTAAGGATAGTAAGAAGACCCAGTTAGTGAAATTTTATGGATATTTGGCCAAATAAAATGCGATGGTGTCATTTAGAATTAAATAGTGAATTAAGAAATTAATTTTATTGATTATTTCTCAGAAAATAGAAATTTTTTTTAGGAATACAAAACGCAAAAGTCGAAAGGATTTTGCAGCAAAGTCGAATACGAATTCGCCTACATCGCCCTCTCGATCTCGTTCGAAAACTTATTCACAATCGCAGTCACCTCATTCAAGATCACGAACATATTCGGATTCATCTGATGAACCGAAAGCTATGAAAAGACGTAAAGTTTCTCGATCACGAAGTAGAAGTCGTCGGCGATCGAATAGGCGTACATCATCATCATCAAGTCGAGATACCTACGGCTCTTTCAGAGCATTCAGGTGTTGCATTTTTCACTGATAAATTATGGTTAATGTTTTTTCCCATTAATTTTTTCAGTTTTTTTCTTAGGTTGGTATAGAATTTTTCTTATAGTACATCATATAGGTTGTTTATTGAAATTTTTCTTAAAGTTTATTATTGGATATAAATTCTTTCAGAGGAGGATTGGTTAAATGTTTTGTTCATTGAGATTATAATACAAGCAATAAGGCAAAAAAACAAATGCTATTGGCAGTTTCTATTTTTTTATCCCTCTTTAGTAGTAATGTTTTGTTATTCTTATACTGTCTCTGTGAATATACAATTATGCTTAACTGCTACTACTACATTCTTCGTTATTCATTTTTCTCGGATTCTGTTATTTGAACAGGTGAAGTTTTCCAAGGATCCCAAATTTCAAACCATGTATAGATGTGGAAATTTTATCATCTTGGTTGATAGGTTCAAAAATTTTTATTTCAGGCTTATATTATTATATCCTATAATAATTTTCAGTTTTTCTCACATATTGGTTTCTTCAATTTTTTATGAAAATGGGAATGGGGATGGGAAATGAATAAAATATCAAAAAACTGAGAAGTAAAAAAATTTTCAGTGCCAGAAAAACTGAAATTTTTGGAAACATACTTTTCTTCTCGGTTATAATTCTTCCATAATGATTTTTTTTAAGAATCGTAGAATTTTTTCTCCTTTGGTCATTATTTGAAAAGTTTGTTCCAGTTTGATACCCTAAATAAATTTATTTTCCATTTATCAAAAAAATTGAAATTAAAAAATTTTTTTCTCCGAAAGAAATTTTGGTTGAATTTTGCTATAATTGATGAGATATGTATTATTTTATTTGGTATAGTTATAGTAATGAGTTGCAGTTGTAAATATTTTTCATGAGTCCCTACTTTTCAGCAATAAATCGGGTAACTGTTATCGTTATCAGTTTTTATTGTTATTATTATCAGCGAAAGATACCGATTTATTTACGCAAAAACATCACTGAAACATCAACACTATCGATAGGATTTTATCGCTGTTGTTCTACTAATTGTCTTGTCGCCCAGTCGTCACTAATATTATTATATTATATATTGTATTATTTATTTTTATTATATTATAGCTAAAATTAACGCGGTGAGTGGACGCAAGAGTATTAATAAAGTAGACTTAATTATTTTGTTAATTTAACTTTCTATCTCTTAATTTGTTGGTTTTTAAATTTATTATTGCAGCAAAATTAGGTCATGAATATTTTCAGCCCAGCACAAACTTTGGGAAAGTATCCATGTAAAAAGTGCGATCGAAGAGATTTCGATACGATTCGAGAATTAAGTGAACATGAGATACGTGCGCATGGAGCTGTTATACCTTGTCCACACTGTAGTCGAGATCGTTCGAGCGTGCAAAAACTTGTTGATCATTTGCAGCGTCGACATGGAACGTCACGTTTAGTTTGTCATTACTGCAAGGAGAGTTTCAGTTCGAGAATAGAAACAGCTAAAAGTTCAATAATTGATGACTATCGTGCCCATATATACAAGGTAATAACTATATTATATCATATTTTTTATGGTATTATTCTGTCTATAATTTTTCTGCTGGCGATATTTACCATCACTATTTGTTCGATGTTTTTAAGCTCTTTGATTTTTTGCTTGATTCTTGCCTGAAAGGAACCTAAGCTGCTCCTTTTTTCGATTCCCATATATTGCTGGGTCTTCCTGTTATATTCTGTCATGGTTCTGTCATTTACAGCGTATTCTGGGACTTGCTTTGTGTTTTATGTCTAATAATTAAAAGAACGGAATTATTTCACTATTTTTTCACCAACTTATTTTAGGAATGTTTAAAAGAAAAGATGTATAAGCATGAACGACTTACTGGAAGATCTGGAGCTATAGCGCAACGCGGACGAGGTCGATGCCCTCATGGTCCTCCCGTTAAGTGCAAGTAATATTTCTTTTAAGATTTTTAACAATAAGAAATTTAACTGGTTCTGTGGAGAGATGGGATAGTTCAGGAGATTATTGCCTTGATCTCGAAATACTATTTCCACTCCAGGAGCAAATGTAGAAAAAATGCTGATTTTGTAGGAATTTCCCGAGTTGCCCAGGAGATAAATGTTATTATTTCCACGGATTCTGTCGCCACGATTTGAATTGCACTAAAAAAGATTGTCCATTTGATCACACAAATCGACCAAGAACATGTCTTTCTTGTTTACGAGATTTACGAGTTTGTTTTTGCTTATTATATTATTAATATTTGTATAAATAAATAAACCTTGTACAATTTTTTTTCAAAGATTCAATATGAAAAAATTGCGGAAAAATTTCTTGGCTTTGGCGTATTTAGAGCATTTAGAATAAATTATAAATAGATGACTATATAAATTTTTTGCAATCTAGCAGTACCACTTTATTGAATGATTTGCACATGAATAATTTGTTGAAATAGAAGTCTCGATAGTATTTTTATTGTTTTTCAGACTTTTAGTGATCGTGATCGTTATGATCGAAGGAGATATCGCCTATAATATTTTGGAGCATTCTCACAATTTTTCTATTCTTATGGGATTTTATTTTTAGTTTTTACTGTTCTTACAAATACCAAAATTTGAGGCTTATTTTTACTGAAAAATTTTTGTCCAAACAAAGTTTTATTTAAAAAATTTACTAAATATTGTTTAGATAATTATTTAGATGTTTTTCTATAAAATTCTTGTTTCTATATTTATTTTCACTGACATATGTATTTTCTCATTAGTAGCAACGGCTTATCAAAATGTATAACTTAATTTCTCTAAAAATTCAGGATTTTATTATTTGCTTGTTCGATTTTTCCATTGTGACTTCCACTATGTAGTTGCGACAAATTGTTTCTGTCGTAAATCTGAATTTAGCAATCTGAAATTTAAATTTTCAGAAATTATATTTCTTCGCATTCCAGAGAGATTCGAAATTTATTCAATTTTAAGTATCGTTTCAGTTTCATTTTCTCCATTTTCTGTAATGAAGGATCAGTGCATGGAAATGATTCGACATATAAATTCTGAGTTCTACAAAATCTTCATGCTTGTTACATCTATATTCATTTTAACAGAATTGTTTTAATAGTTTTAAGGGATGATAATTATTGCAATATGCATTTGCTTAATATATAGTAGTTCAATGTTTTGTTTTAGTAGTTTTAATATTTAATAATTTTACTTAAATTTAATTGTAATTTCATTTCTATAAGTTTGATTGCAATTATTCAACGTTATTTCGCAAATTTAGATTTGTTTTATATGCTGGATTTATAAAATTGGAAGTTTTTTTTGAAGCTAAATATCAATAAGTAGTATATTCAGTTTATTTAAAAATATTTAATATATATTTAATAAACATTTTAAATTTTAATAAAATTTAAATTTTAAATTTTAAGTCAAAAAAGGCATTATGCTTGAAGCAGCAGTTATGTTCTCATAAAACACTTTTTTGCACTCACCACTATTGGCTGAATCGTTGACACTAAAATTTTCTGAAAATAGAATTATTGGTGTTATTCAGCCCAATTTTTTCTCTGCTTTTAGGATAGCAAACTAATTGGTATAATTGCAGTACCTAGCCTATACAGACTAGGCATCAGTGTAAAATTAAATTTCCGAAAAGATTTTTACTGAAATTGTAAACAAATTGAATACAAGCAAGCTATTACAATAAATTTTTTTTATTGGTCGATGAGAATCGGACTCAGGATCAATGTAAATAAAACGAAAGTCTTTTCGTCTTATGTGTAAGAAGCTTATAATGCCTCTTTTTGTAAATGCATTGCCGGTTGAGGAAATGCCAGGTTTCGAATACCTTGTATCCACTCTAATACCAAATGGACAGGCAAAAGGTGATATTACAACTCGGATCACGGTAGCTAGGAATGCATTCTTCTGGTTGACGAAACTTTTACGAGCCGTCGTGAAATTACCATTAACACAAAAGTCCGCATCTATGTAGCTGGATCCGTTTGATCTTACTATATGGTTCTGAGACATGGCCAATGAGAGTGGAGGATATCAAGAAGTTTTCCACTCTTCTAGATATTGGAAGCGTCTTACCATTGTAGCCGTTGGAGCCAGCCTAACTAGTAATGGTGAGAAATGTTAAGAAGAAGAAGATTGATCGATGTTATAAAAATCATGTGAGAAGTTCTAAAGTTCTCCAAAACACACTGCATGGCAAAAATGCTCTTACTAAGGAATTTTTGGACACAAGATTATATATATATATATATAAGCTAGATAAGGCTTAAATGGCTCATCTACTATTTTCAAATAATTTTAGAAATTTGATCTACTTGCGAATGCCTCGCTTAAGTGAATGGAAATAACATGGCCAGGTTTAGTCAGATGTGTTAAAAGCAGAGGAAGAAGAAAATTTGTCAAGGAAATTTTTAAGAAATTTTTATTACAGCTGATGTAAATAATGGTTAAAGTCGTTCAAATGTTGGTTGTAAAAGATTCAATAATTGTCCAAAGAAATCGAGTGCGAACAAAACGCTGTAATATTAACATTGTAATATTAACGTTATGCCCGCTGGAGGTCCAGCTTATCTTCGAGCTGATGATCAAGAAAATTTTGATTGTAAAGGTGATTCAAATGACGTCGAATATAAACTTCATGTGACTGGACTTCGCCAGAAAAGCTTATTGATATTAATCGTTATCCTAGCTGTTCTTATTTTTCTCGCATTCGCCGTACTCACTGTAAGCAGCATTCATTTTTTTAAAAATAATTTCTTTTTTTAAAAGGGAAATCCTAGTCGATTTTTTTTACTGGGGATTGACAACAATTGATAGTATTGAAAAACTCAATTCAGTTAGAATATTTAATAAATGCATAATGCCTCAGTGATTAATGAAATTCATAGAATTTTATGTTAAAGTGTGGCTTGATCGATAAACAATAGCAAGGTCTACTGGCCCATAGCAAGGTCCACTGATTAGAAATTTTTGCCAGTGACTCACTTGGCGAAAGAAGTACCGTCAGCATCGCAGGAATTTTTTAATGGCAGGTTCATTCGTGTCGGGGGTCAACGTCTGATGCTCGTTTTGACGCAAATCGAAACAACCATACTATTCAACCAAATATTGATGCTAATCGCTACAAAACTTAACCTTCAGGTGAACATTATAGTTATTCGAGTTTTGGGATTAACACCTCATGGTATGAAACATTTGCGTTTCCATAGTTCGCGGAACGCTAAAAATGGTGAAGAAGGAACATTTGTTGAATTTGTAGCTGAAAATCTGCATCTTGGAAGAATTATTGCCAAAACTGGTTACGTGAATGGATCGCCAGGAAAAGATTTCACTATACATGGCTCACGGGTATGTTCAAAGTAAATTTATTCTGTGAGTAAAATATTGATCTTCATTATTTTACAGTGAGATAATGATGATTTGTTTTCCTACACCTTAAAGCATGCACCATTTCTGGTTATCCTCAATTTACTGTTGTGATATTATGCGTTGTTATTTGAGAATAGAAGCATTTCCAACACCACCTGAATTTTTTAATGAGAGGTTCATGTTAGGGATAGGGTCCAAACTCGAGATGGCGACCTGAGCAACAAGCCTGTTTTTATTTGTATATGTTGAGGAATTATTAAGAAATCTGATAAGTAATATAAAATGTGAATGAAAAATGCCACGAGTGGTAATAATAGTTTATGCATAAATTTTTAATAAATATTATTTATTTCTATTTATTATCACAATTCGTTCAAAAATTTTCTTATTTGCTTATTTAAATTGAAATTTTAATTAAACAGAATGACCTACATGATTCCTCAGCAACTTCTGTTTTAGGATTTTAGGAATGCTAATAACAAATTAAGTAAATGTTTAAATGTTATGTTCTTTCTCTTCTACGGATAGGTGTACTCATAAATGTTTCCTAAACTGCATAATATTTTACCATTCATAATTTCAGGTGATCACTGAAAATTTAAATAATAAAAGTCGTTTTGTTTTACATGATGGAACTTGTCGATTCGAAAATGTTGAACAATTTATGGTGATTTATTTATATTAATATTAACTGCTCAATCCGATAAAGATCCTAAAAAAGTATTCAGGATTTTAAAATTTTCTTTCATTGAATATATTTGGTTACAAACCGTTGTAATTTTTGCACATAGTGGGTTACTATTATATTTCATCCACTAAAAACCGATAGAAGTAGTTAATATGGAAAAAAAATTATTCATTGTATAATCAGATCTTGGATAGCCAAGAAGATGGGATCTTCAGATTATGGATTTTAAGAGGCAAAACTTCGGCTGGGCGGATAAACTTATTATTAAAAATCCATGGTATATCGCAAATTGAATTGAATCTTTTCTAATCACACGAACTCAGTAAAGGGAGCTGAACAAGAATTGGTCTGCCTTAACTATATTATACAGTATATCTGAAAATGAAGCCTCCTGAAGTATGGCTCAACTTTTTGTTACTAAAAAATCATTGAAATGTTCTTTTTCTTTTATAGATCAAGAATCAACAGCATCCAATTTTCAGTGCAAAACATCCCGTTTTTCGGGTTGATCGCAGAATCAAGAAAATTTCTACAACGCAAATAATTACGAATAAAGTTAGAGAATGTATCCAAAACTTTCCAAGCGAAACTTTATTATAACATTTGAAAATTTTCATCAAAACTGAATAATTTAAGCAAATAAATAATTTAAGCGACCATATTTCCTGTTACTCCCTGCTCTGATTTTGCTTCTGATTTGCTTCTGATTTTGTTACATGCTCTGATTTTTACTTCGGCACGATAATAATGAAAATACACTGAAGCTGCTTAATGATAGAAGTAGAAATGGGCCACCAGAGTTTCGATTTTTTTCCAGTCAAGAAGAAGGAGAACAACGATGTTCGAAATAATGACCTAAGCCAATCGTCCTGCACTTCACCTTATTTTCCTAGCCTTTTCTTGTTTTAATGTCCAGCTCAATCCAATCCCTTAATATTTTTTTCTTAATATCTCTTAATATTTTCAAAATTAGCTATTTTAATTTATTATTTGTTAATTTGCAATTTTTTTAAGATACGATCACCAATTAATGAAAATCTTCATGTTGATATCGAAAATTTAAGTATTCGCGGAAATGAAGGAGTTCGGATGGAAGCAAAAGGTTTTAATATTACTGCAAGGAATAAAGTTCACTTCAAGACATCGGTTAGAATTTTTTTAAAATTTTTTAGTTTGTCCGACAAATAACAAAAACATTAATGAAATATAATACTTTGGACATTTCTTATCAGTAAATAAGCTATTCGGTAAGGAAAGAGAATGTCGTAAGTTTGACCTCCTCACTTGAGTAATTTGAGTCGCGCTAGGGACACGACTTTACTTCTATTCCTAAGTGACTCTCTTCCGAAAAGTTCCAAGGCAATCGATGCTACCAATCAAAGCAGAAATGGTGATCGTTGTAGAAAATAATATTACATTTATTTCAGAATGATGGTCGGTTGACTTTTAACGGAAATAAAATGTATATCGGAAGCAACTGGTTATCATTGCCCATTAGTTCATCACCAGCTTTAACTGCCTCAGTAGATGCGTTCCGTATTTGTATTTGTATCGCTGCACGACCTAAGCTCTTTGTTGTTGCTGGTAATAAGCCTTGTGTTGCACCTCAAAATTTCTGTACCTAATTTCTACATGAAAATTCGTAAAAAATTCTTCTTACATTTTCACACTTGATATTTTTTCCAATTTTTAGATTCCCAGATTCAGTGATTTGTGGGATTTGATTTTTTGAATAAAATGGATAAAATACTTTGATTACATATCTTTTTAATCAATTTTTTTCTTAATTTATTTTAGTAATTTTTTAAAGGTTTTTTCGCAAACTAAATTGTATATTTATATTTAGCAGAACATAATATTTAATTAATTAATTAATATTAATTAAATTTTGAAAATCTCAGAGAAATAAATTTTTAAGTGAGAGTGGGCAATAACGTTATATTTTGTACAGTATAAGCAGTGATTATTTTTTGTTGTTAGTAAAAATAATGGACATTGCTGTTGGACCTGCCTGTGCTTCTGTTCTTTTCCCATGTGATTCTTTGATCAAATAGTCTCACCCAAACAGTTAATGAAGACAACCAGAAGAAAGAAGGGCTAACGGGCTTCAAACGAACTATTGTTGTGGAACAATTATTGCACCATGCATTTGATAGTACTAATTTATCAATGAACGCTGGTGTCAGTGATGTAAACATTGAATGAATCATTTTTGAGTAAATCAAACCAAATGTCAATCAGCAAAATAGGGCATTTGTAATGAAATAACGATAATAATATCAAGGTCAATCGACCAACTAGGAAGCCAAATAACTTTGGTAACATTGATTAACAAATGAATCGATCATAAGTTGACCTCTTATTACCCATTGCTGACCTCTATAAATTCAAAATCTCTTCCACCGAATTGAAAATTTTCCGCAAGGCCCACACTTGATAGAAAGTGGGTTTTTTTTTTATTACTGGAGACATTTACTATTTAATTATGGAATGCTAACGAATCGCTTTTATTTTTTCATTTTTCGGTATGTTTTATCAGCACTATACATCTAATAGTACCCACCATTTCTGTTTTAACTATTGGCTTCATTAATTATTGGTAAGTGTGGGGCCTCACCGCCAGGGTACTGGGGATGGGAATGTAAATGAGTACCCTAACATCACCCGGTTTTCACTTCCATTAGCAGAACCAATTTAAAACTATGCTACAGAAATTCGAAAATTATTCGATGATGACTTATCTAAAATTATTTTAAACTAGATACAAGTAAAATAAATTCAATTTCTCTGTTTTCTTTTAGGGTTCTTGGAATTTCACTGCTTTTTTATCCCTTAATGAAATCCTTTCGTCGTTAATAATTTTCAATTTTGTCCAAAAGAAAGCAATTTCTCCATTTTGAAATCACTTGCCTTTTTGGCTGACTGCACACAGCATGAAATTCCTTCGCCAAAGAGTCAAAATAGAGGACTTGAAATGGATCTCCAATACCAAAATGTTGTTCAGTATTTATTTATTTTATTTAGTTTTGCAATTTGTTAAAAGAATTTTTCTTTTTTTTTGTACGCAAAAAGTCGTAGCGATAACTTTCATTCGATTTGTTTAGAATAATTGACGAGGAGGTTCAACTCGTCGTTCACCTTATTTTCAGTTAAGCTCGATCATCGTTCGCATATTTTCATATTTTTCAACTATCCTCTAAAGAATCGTTTTTGACCGTATTGTATGCATCGCATGTGCATCTTGCTCCCAGGCGATCTTGACCATTCATCTACACTTTTCTCGGCAAGTAGTTCGGTGGCAAAAATTTCCTAAACTTACCAACGACCTACGGAGTTGACCACAAATAGTGAGCCTTAACTTTTCTCGTATGTCTTGCGCCAGACTTATGAATAAATAGACAAATTTATATTTATTATTACATATGTTTATTATTGCAATATTGCCTATTTCGTGTTGGTACAGTACTATTAGGTTCATTGTTATCTTCTTCTGGCGACTGCCAATATTACTAATTAGGCTAGATCTATCGATTGTAAACCTTAGGCGCTTCCGAGATCCGATGCCAAACTAACAGATTCCACTTTCCACCGCTAAGTCCCTATTTTGTTCAGCTGCATGCCTGGTTTCAAAATATTTCTTTGCTACAGAATTTTATGGTAATTTTAAATCAATTTTTAATTATAAGATAATAAATGGAATAAAGAGGAAAAAAACAAAAATTGATTGGTACGAGACAAAAAAATAATTGTTAAATTATTTCTTCCTTCAGGCAAATTTTCCATTACTTTCTTGTATCATTTAAAATTTTTTTTCTTATTCTTTTTTATAAAATATTTCGTTTTTATAAATAATTTTAAATAATTTAAAATGATTTTTTCATTGAATCATTTCCCAACTTTTTATAATAAATTTGGTTGTGATTTTTTAAAATATTTTTGGCGTCGTAATATTACAAAATTTAACGAAAGTTTGCATTTTAGAACTTTCACTTTACGGTTTTTCTTCATTTTCTTTAATTGTATTTGTTGATCTTTTTCAGTCGTTTAATGTGATGTTCGATCGGTTTTGACGGCTCATTTAGTACCGATACGAGTGGAATGTTCCTTAAGTATTGCGTTCATTAGGGTTCATAACCTAAACCTCACTGATAAGTCATTTAAAATCCTTTGATTGTGATTGTAAATGATTGGACTGAATTAATATTGAACTGCTAGAAAATATTAAAAACTGGAATGCAAGTGGTGTTAGAAACCCATTTGTACTTCTATCCCAGTGATTCTAGCAACTTTCGAGTTGTCCTAATTGAGTTGTTCAGCTGAACCAACCAATAACTGGTGTTAGAGGGATGCAATGCTGATTTAGGCAATATTAATAATAAATTTTGGTTTTATAAATTCACGGCTCGGAAATTTTCCGATGCATTGGTCATTTTCAATGAAAAAGGTTAATTAAAAAGCTTCTGTTATTATAGAACGAATGTCTTCATTAGGCTAACTATTTTATTCTAATCTTCATTAATAAATACACAGATAACCATTATTTTAAAATAAATATAATTATTAGTAAAAAGTAATCAGTGGTCGCTAAGAAAGGTTATTGGTCTATGTCCTTGCGACCTTTCTGTAGAGAAATTCTGAAATTCTTATGCGTTGAATTCTTTTCATGTTACGAAAGCAATGCTTTAATGTTTCAGCAAAAAAGTTCGGTACAAGAATGGAAACTGATGAATTTCAAGGAAAAAATGGAATCCGATTTGAGAATGTCAATTTGGTATTTGAGACCGATTGGTCAAGCGGTTTCCGACGTGAGCTGCAGTTATGTCCAGCTCTTATTTTGGCATCTGAGAATTCGATAGGAAAAGCGATAAAGTATATCTATAGTCGATTGGCTGCAAGTTCCGTAAAAATTGACCAAGGAATTCCTGATCTTGTTGTATCACTCATTGCTACAACCAATAATTTCGATCCATCCGTTCGTTTTCATATTTTTCACGATTTAAAAAATTATGCATAAGTAAAGGAAAATATAAGAGAATAATGGAATTCATTGACTAAATAAGAAATATATTGAAATATATTGAAATATAAGAAACTTTTGTTACAATATTTAACCATTATGTGCGTAGAACGTAAGATGGTGTGCGAAGGACTTTGAACTATGCCTGAACAGGATGTAGCGGTTCTGACTTGCAAATCGAGTCCATCTCGAATGTAAAGATGATAACTGAACCATCCGGTAGGTTATTCCCGGTAGTTTTCCTCAGGACAATTAGGGAAGATTAATAGTTTTTCACCATAAATAAGGCCATTAAGACCACCAAAAAAAAGAAATTGTAGAAATTTGGAGAAACATTGTTCTAATTTTTAAATTGCTCTTTTTTCCTTGAACTATGATTAAAAGTTAACCATTTTAACAAAATCATATAATTAGGAAAATTATAATATCTTATAATTAGGAAAATTAATTCTTAATGTTTAACACTTACAGTCCCGGCAAAAAGTTGAGAACGCATTATCGCGAATTGCAATAAGCTGTTGTGCTTGGTTCATTTCATGTGGCGAATCTTCTGATCCACTTGCTCGGATAATTTCTAATATACTTCGTTCTCTTTTTCTTACCGTAATATTTTCATAAAAACAGTCAAATAACGTGTCAAATAACTTAGATGGTTCCTAGACTTGATATAGTTTAGTATATATTGCAGATATCCACTGGCTGCAAGGGTAAGATGTCTCCAAGGTCGGTCCGACGCCATCACTAGTAGAAGCCATTCCTTTTTCCATCGTCTAAGTCCATATATTGTTGGTCCGCTCAAAATCTTTCCTGACTGTATTAGTCCAGGTCTTGATTGGCCCACCTGGCTTTTGACGCCAACCATCAGACGGTTTAGCAAGTAATGAAATATGCATCAACTCCTGTGGTGGACGACAGAGAACGTGCCTTAACCAGTGAAGGCGACGCATTATTTATGCAAGTGGTATTTGAACGAAGATGGATGCGATCATGTGATATTTTATCCGCTCGATGACCCGTACAATATACCGTAGATAAAAGTAGTAGATAGCTTCTTAATATCCTCCACTCTCATTGGCTCGCAGCCATATAGCAAATCGAATGAATGCGGCTATATAGATGTTGTATTTCGTCACAACTTCATCAGTAAAAAGGACTGTATCATCAGCGTATTCAAGGTATTTAAAATCGAGCATTTCTTCAGCAGGCGATGAATTGATGCGATAATCTGGACTGATTTATAGATCTTTTGAGTGCGGACAAACTATGTCCATTATCCAGTCTATCGCATAGTTGAATACTGTAGGAGAAAAGAAAAAGTGAACCTTGACGGATACCAATTCTTATTTCGGAGGATTCGGTTAGTTCCTCATATATAGACTTGTGCGGACTTATACTCATAAAATGATAATTATAAATTCGAATGATCTGATCTTCTCTGAAATATCGCTTCGTTCCATCATCCTCCAGAGCGCCGCTCTTATCAATTGAATCGAAAATCGCCAGAAAGTCGATGAAACATGCAAATTTTTAAAGCGCTGTTTCAATATTCTTAATGTGAATATCTGATCAGCACAATCGCGCCCCGGCTTGAGTTTGACCTGATTAGGTTGCATCTTGCTGTCCCGTATTTCCACAAGTTTATTGTAAGTTTATATATGAGTAAAAGAGATGCAAAAATTTCCGCTGAGACGTCTAGTAGGCAGATTTCTCGATAACTGTCGCAATATGTCCTGTCATTTTTTTTAGGGATTGAGAGCACAGTTGCTGCAGTCATCTGGTAACATTTCAATTTCCATACCAGAGAATGCATTTGTTGAAGGTACGTTATGATGAAGGTGACGTACAATATTTGAAGAGTTCAGCCCGAAGGCTATATTCTCCCGGAGTCTTATTAGCCATAAGCTTACACTGCTGACCTTACCATTTCACTGATCGTTCCCTGAGTTGTAGTTGCTTTATGAAAAAAGTGAAATAGTTTCCTATTATCCTGTTATACCATCCTATTATCCTATTATCGCCTAATGGAGCAACCGTCTTCATTCTCAAGGCCATATCATTCCGATACTGATTTTATATACCGCCGTGGTGCTTTCGCTACGAATCTTCGAATTTTCCAGTAGTCAAAATCTCGATTTGCGAATAAGCCCTGTTCTGTTCATTAACGAGCATTACACTGTGCTTGTGACGACAACCAACTTTACGCGGTTTGCGGTTCAAACCAGCTATACCTTGACCTTCACCGCTGTTTTCTGCCAGCTCCATCCACTACTGGCGATAACTCTTTCGGCTTTTAAAAATTTTCTTCCCTTAGCAATTAGAAGTGGGTGAACATCATCTGAATAAATAATAGGAAATATTTCAGCTTATTTCCTAATTTTTCAAGATTAACTTGAATTTCGTGTTTGTAGTGTTAATATTTATTAATTAAATGAATCAAATCACTTCAATTTCAGCATGGCTCGATTAATGAAACACTTATTTTTCTCGTAAATAATACGAATGTTATCGCTAATGACATTAACCATTCAGTTCGTATGAATGATACTCGATATAATACTTTTTGTATTTTATGGTCGTCACCAAAAGCAACATTAATGGAATCGGCTTTTTTTCGATCAGTTTTTGCTATAAAACTTGCAACGCCACCACCAGGTGAAAAAAATTTGGGTCTTATAATTCTTTCAATAAATTCAAAGCAGTGATGACTAGTATTACCTTGAATGCGGTCCAAGCGGACTGTTGACGGAGCAAATCTCATTTAAAACCTCGACTGGTTATAGTGTGGCTACGCCTATAGAGCCATCGCCAAGCCATTCTTCGGCGAAAAGACATCATTTTAAGTCTTTTGAGCTGGAAATAGCGAATATTGTTAGAAAAAGATGAACAAAAAGCAGAAGGAATAAGAAAGAAATTAGTCGAATTAAAAATTTATTCTACTTGTGATTTTATGTACTTATTCCTTCACGATAAAATGCCATCAGTTTTTGTCCACATCAGTTTTTTTGGTTATTATTTACAGCCTTACTAATTAGTGTGTCAAATGGCAATCCTGGTAATGGATCGTCCCAAATACTACTATCGCCTTCTGATTCTGGCCCCAAACCTATTCATATAGCGTTTTACTGTGGAAATGATTTTTTGTCACTTGTCGAATTAAGAGTCTGTCTGCAATCAGGTGTCCCAGTAATTATCTTGCAGGTAATTTTTCTCAGGATATTCCTCTAATTTTTGCCACCTATGTCGCAAGATTTCGTTATACTCATTCTTATTTTAAACGAAATTTGGCACTGTTTTCTTTCATTATAGGATAGCAGTGAGCTTTGTGCAATTTTGAGTAGTTCATGGCTATTATATCGGAGTTCAGCGTTCGATTATGATAAATGGTTAGAATGGTTAGATGCAGAGCTTCGAAGTGTAGCCCAGAACACTGATTATTATACGATGGATGCAATCAACGATGCTAAGGAAAATATAGCTACGCTGATCTCATCAGCTTCAAGTGATATTACTTTGTTGGATTTCATAACTATTGATCAGGTAATATACATATGAATATAAACTTGATTTTTTCTGCTTGCAAATGTATTTTTGGATAAATATTTGGATAAATGGATAAACTTTTATATCAAAAAATTTTTTTAAAGAGAGAGAGTCGTGGTATCAATCTTGCTTTGATTAAAATCAAGCTATCATGGGTTCTGTTACTGTCCTCCTCAGTGGGTATAAAATCCAAGTGTTTCCGAAATCCGTTTGCCTCTCTGGTGAAGAAATCCTAATAGCCAGCTAAACCAGAAATGGTGAGGCTTGGAGAATAGAATACAAAAGCAATGAAATTGAAGCGATAGATATATATATATATATTCATATCAAGAATTATGATCCAGAAAAAATCTATTAATAGACTATTAAGATTCTACTTCCACTTAAAATGAAAAGAGGACTAAAAAATATATAGGACTATAAAATATATTTAGTTGGATGAATTTAATGATCGTATTCTTCAATTATGTATTCGTTGTGCTACGGAAACCGCAGATATCTATCGAGTCTTGCAACTTGCTGTAAAACTGCAAACACCATCAATTATTCAGTCAACTGAACTTTCTTTAATATTTGCACAACAAGTTTTCTTTTTTCTTTTCTTTTCGACAAATTGCCCGTTATGTTTTATTTTGGATTTTTTGTTTTGTTACATTTTTTTGCTCTAAAAATTGGAAATCAATCTGAAGAAATGATGGAATTTTTAGGAGATTAGCAGATTATGTGAAGAAGCACTTCTTATAGATTCTCGGATATCTGTTCTCTCAGCATTACTGGATCAAGGTGTACCTATTAAAATATCTTTAGGATTACTAACAGAAATGGTTGAAAATTTGAAAGATCAAGTTGGTTTTTGAAAAATAAAAGTTAATTTTATATTGTAAAAATTATAACGAATTTATCACGCCAATCAATTTGTAATCATTTTTTAGTGTTTCTTCCATGATGTTATCATTGGTCATTCGTTGGGTCGAAGTTGCCTTTCTAATATTGACATTCATTTCATCGAGCAAATTAACCGATTAATGGTATTTTTATGCAGTTTTATACAAAAGTTCATTTTTGTTCACCCCAATGATCAAGCTTTTTTAAACTCAGGAATGGCTTTCTGGAGGCATTAAAAATCTTTTCCCAAGAGAATGTTTTGAAAGTTTGGATAATGATATAGATGATGGTCGATCACTCCAAATACTTTCTCTATGGGCTTTAATTTTAAATCGTGGTGAACTTGCCAAGTGTCTTTGTAGTTATTGTTTGGAACCTGTACCTTTATCACTTGTTATGGCACGAATCGCTAATGCATTGGCTTATGAAGTAAGAATAAAATAAGTTGTTGTTTCTTTGACTTTTTTTCTGATGTACATAAAAAGTCCAGATCACTATGGGATCAAGTACTATGTGATTGATCTCTTTCCTTTGGCATGAGATCTTATTATTAAAACTGAAATTCAAGTGGTGTCACTTGTTTACGTATACCTTTGAGACTATTCAAAGATATAGATGGTCGAATGGTATGGTTAGCTCGATTTGAGTATCAAGTTTGTTTCCCTGAATCTAGTAAACTTGCCCACAAAGAATCGAAGCGTTGCTGGTGATACTCTTTGACAAAAATTTTAAGCATAATAAACCCAGCAGAACTGGCTTCATCAGAAATGACGCTAACTATGTATTATAATACTGTAATGAATGGATTGCTGATTTATTTAACGAAATCAGAATAAAACACATCGGGAAATTTATAGGAAAAGTTGCAATGAAATTAAGCCGCAATTCATTTGTAGGCTCGTGATTGGGTATTTTACGAGAATGGCTTTCTGAATCTTTCAAAGTGGTTCAGCAATCACAGCACAGCAGTTCTGGAAGCAGCACATATAGAATCTCCGAGAAAAGCCTATAAAAATTTATGTATACCTCTTGAGTGGTTCAATAATCTTACCATTACTGAACTTGCTTTACAAGTATGCATAATTTTATTTTATCAGAGAGGGCAATTTTCATGTGATATCTCAAGTTTTCATCTATCTTATTTTCGTTCAGATTTCTTATTTATTTTTCAGACCAATGATAAACAATTCATTGCACATCGTTGTTGCCAACGTTGGGTTCATCGTTTACTTTATGCTAATTTACAGGTGATGGTTTGTGATTTGTTTTATTCTGGTTCAAAAAAAGTGAAAAAAATTTGAAAATCGGCTCATTTTTATTCTTTTTTTAGAAAAGAATTTTCAGGTGTCTTGTTCAAAGGGATTGCTTAAAATACCTCATTGGTTGAAAATTCTCATCTCTGCTTTATTAATATTACCGATACGTTTCTGGATGTATCATCAAGAATTAATGATTCGAGAACCTAAGGAAAATTCGCCAAATTTTTTTAGTCCAGCGATTGCTTTTTTGCAGTGCAATCGGAAATCTAGTAAAATCCATGCTCATTCTACCTACAGGTTTATTTTTTCTCAATAATTATTTATTAGAATTGTATGCAAATTCTGAACAAATCCATTTATCATTAATCCATTCATTAATCCATCCTATAAAAGTTGATAAAAATTGATTTCGTTTATTGCTTTTTGTCAGTATAGTTCGTTAGTGATATAGGCGTAAAGAAAATCGTTTGCTGAAGCGAATTTTGCATTACGGCAAAGCTATTACGAGCTATAATGCAGCATCCGACTAAATCCAATTTAAATAAATTTCTTAAATAGATTTAAATTGTCCTTTAAATTTAAATTAAGCTTATTTATTCTATGGCCATACATTTTTCTCGTTCTATAATGCTTGCTCTTTCTTGCTTGATTTGCATTCGATTTTTGTCTCGAAAAATCTTCATTGGAACTATTTTTAGTCATATTTCTTCAAGGAGCAGTCAGAGAGAAATGATTCGCGATGAACGATCATCAAGTGAAATAACAGGTACTCCACAATCAGGAATTAATCAAGGAGTCTCAACAGGATTCCATCCCAGAGAGACCATTATTCTGGAGGATATCGATACTCCAGATTGTCTAGCGAAGCAAAAGGATCGAACGAAATTTCGTTCTAAAACTTCTATGGCAATAAATATTTTTTATACAATTCCAATTGTCAAGTTTTGGCTTTCGTTGGCATTTCGACTTATTCATATCATTCTCATTGCTTATTCGGTATTTTTTTGATCTGCCTTTACTTTCTATGTTATCATCCTGTTGTTGTTCTACAGAAAATCAAAACAAAAAATAGTAAAACCTTGGACAGCAGGATTTTTGAGTATTACACTGCTTCAGTCAATCAAGTATGGGTTCGACTCTGCTCCTTCAATTTAATTCTAAGACTTCTGTTGTACTTATGTTATAATAAAATGAATATACCAGTGAAGTTTCATTGTTTGTTTATTTTTCTATGCGTCTATGACTCTCTAGTAAAAGGTCATTCTCAATTGAAACCAAGCCAGAAATGGTGAGTGTTGTCAGAAAACTCCAAAGCAAAATAATAAGGTCAAAAGGCATCTTCTGGAAAACCAAATATGAATTTCATTTCTAGCAAAAAAATATTTTTTTAGTGTCTATAGAGTTTACTGATTCATTTATTACAGATTATGCTTCCTGGTTGTGGTTCTTTGATGTTAGATATATCGATATGGGTTTGGACATTTACAATGTTACTTGAATCATTATGGGTATTTTCGAATCGACTCAGTCGAGCATCTTTCCAACAAGTAGTTTTTTTACTGGCGTGTTTTCTTTTTACAAGATCAATTATCAGTTATCCTAAATCTATTTTCAGAAAAAGAAATTTCAGAAATTTCTTTTAAAATTTAATTCAATTTCTTTTAGAAAATATCTTTTATGGCTTATTTTTTATTTATTAGCGTCTTTATTTATAATCAGATTTAACCAGGCTTATTGAAAATATTCAAAATCTATCATTCATGGATTCTCAGAATTCCATAGTAACCACAAAATTCGTCGCGACCATGTTGTATTTTAGATTACTTTAGATTACTGAGAAATTTTCAAATGGTTTATTTTGCATATTTTTTCAGCTTTGGTGGCGTTTTTTCGACATACTCGCCATATCGTCTCTTTTATTTTCTATATTTGTTTTCAAATTTTTGAATATGCTGAATCAAAAAATTTTTAAAGTAAGTTTTTCCTATGTTAACTCTGCTCTGCTGCCGAATGATTATTGCTGAAATTATCTTGTATTCGAAAAAAGTATACTTATCGCTGAAATTAATTTGTTCAGCTAAAATATAGTTTATTATAGTTCAAATTTAGTTCGTTTACTTTTTGCTAAAAATTTTTTTAGACCATCAGCCTCGCTCATAACACTCGAATTTTTTCTTCTTTTTTACTTCTTTACCTATGTTATTCAACATTATTTCATTATATCCCATTATCAGAAATTTTTGGACCTTTAATGGTTCGCGTAAAAATAATGGTGATGAGAGATTTCACCAATTACCTTATTTTTACAGTTCTTGTCATTGTAAGGTTTGTTTATTTTTTTGCTATATTATATTCTTTTCAATAATGAAAAAAAAACTGAAATTGTTAGGGTTATATATCATATGGCTGGGGAATAGATTAGTGTGTTATTGCTCACTTTGGGGCGCAGTTGCCGAGGCCCCACTCCCCACAGGAGTGAACCTGTCGAAAAATCTGGATGTTCATCTTCCATCGCCAAGGGACTCCCTGGTATACTTATCTATGCAATAAGCCAGCGGCGCGAGACTAATTAGTAATGGTGCGGGCTTTAAAAAGACGAAAAAAATGTAATATGACGCGATTTATAACAAATTATTATTAAGATAGAAATTTTTGCTCTGCAATTTACAGTTATCGTAAATTTTGGTTTATTTTCAGTACTGCTGTCGCTTATCATGTGATATTATATCCAGACATTGAATTCGGCTTTAATAGTTTTCTTAAGGCGATTTCGTGGGCATGGTTTTCACTATTTACGGTTGATTTGTCAGGTTTCTTTATTGGATTCTTTAGTATGACGAGGTGAAGTTTAAAAAGAATTAAGCCTTAAAAAGTGTTTCTGCTCTGATCTTTTAAATTTAAAATGAATAAATTAGGTTTGATTTTTTTTAAGATTTATTATTTTCAGTCTATTTTTCTCTTCATTTTTCTATAATCTTCCTTTTTTTCTTCCTTAATTATTTTCATTCTCTTTGTCTTTGACAGGGGTAAATCTGCCATGATTTCAAAAATTCCGGGTGACTAGTGGAGACCCACTTGCAACTCTATCCGTGACTGCCTCTGCAGTGAAAGGATTTGTTCTTAATTCGCATTATACTCCCCACTTTGTAATACATGCGATATATAAGCAATCCGGGTATAGTAAAATGATCCGAAGGCTTGAGAATAAGATGTTCTCGCGATAAAATAATATGTAAGCTGGAAGTTTCGAACCAAAGGGAAAATTTTTCCACACGGGCGACGAGGTATCAGCCATAGTAGTGTAGTTAGAATGTCAGGACGTTTGTCGGCATTGCAAGCTAATCGCTCAGTTCCTCTCTTCTATACTAAATATCGTGTAGATAGTTTTGGATAAGGTAAATGGCTTGGCAATTATCATGGACTCGAAAAGCTTGGTTGACTCTTATTGAGTGGAAATTGTTAAAAAGTCATATAACCAATGCGCGTTTCAAAGGAATATTTTGGAAATCAGTATATGTACTCCAACTTTGTGCGCAGGTGACCAAGAAGAAATTCTGTACAAAACTCTAACTATTAACATCATCTCCAGAGGGTGACATGGGTCATAGTGGAGACTGGAATGCGCGCGTAGGCTATGATTTTGTCACGGTAAACTCTTTTAATCAGTAAATATGGCATAGGATTCCAGTGTAGAATGCCTTTTTCGCTTTGCCGAAGTCCATTGATTTTTAATTAATTCATGGAAAACATCTGGCCATTCCTGGAACTCTCCGGATATCCACCAGATTGATTATATTTTAAACAGTTGCAAATGGAAGAGTTCCGTACTAAAAGATAAACGTTCCTATTGCGGCACTGAAACGGACAAGCTTCATGGGTATGTGTCTGGTTCGAGTCAAGGTTCACATAAAATTGACAACTCGCAAGAAACAACGTCTCCCAAAATCTTTCAGTCATTTTAACATAAAAATGGAGATGGCTGCTCGATTATACGGTAATAGAAAACTATTTTACTTTCTTCATAAAGCAACTCTGGAAATTAGCATCGAAGCGAACGCTCGCGCTTATATAACTGCAATTCGCTCGATCTTGTCATTTGACTGTGAGATATGATTAGAGAAAGTGGAGGACATTAAGAAATTATCTACCTTTTTTGATCGTTCATCATAAGGTATATTTTAATGGTTCGCCGAGCAGGTAAATTCTCGCATGATTCATTCATCTTCGCTCAGATGCCATATGCATTAACAATACTATATAAAGAGCATTACTTTCTCTGGTTAAAATACATCGCCACCATGAGTTGAGAAAAATTTAATTAAATTTAATTAAATTTAATTAAAAATTTAATTACTTGCTAAATCCTATGATGGATGGCGATAAAAGTGAAGTGGACCAATCAAGGCTTGGTCTGATATAACCAAGAAAAATTCTGAATGTGAAGGTGGACCAGTAATATATAAACCTGGATGATGGAAGAAAGAATGGCTTCTATTATTTATTATTATTAATTATTATCAGCTATGGCGCCTACGAAACAGCTAGTAGACATTTTACGTTTGTAGTTACCAGATTCAGCCTAAAAATTAGTGATGAGATTTGTTAGAAGAAGAAGCTTTAAGCTATAATATCCTATGAAAATTACAAAACTGTCAAAATTTGCTTTGTTTTTTGGATGTAATAATTTAAATATTCAGAATTTCATTAATAAAATCTACAAGCATGTTGAATTCATTTCTCAAAAATTATTTCAGGTTTAAATGAATCAGAATCATGCAAGAAATCCATACTGAGAGAATCAAAGGATCGGTGTACGGCAGTCGGTGGCTACACCAAATACGATTGTCCATCGCAGTCATGGGCTGGATATTTTGTAGTCATCGAATACTTCATTCTATTAAAACTAATCAGTTGGCCAATACTTTTTGCATTGTTCGCAAAGACAGCAAAAGAAGTTGATGAAGAAGCCGATCGTATTTGGAAATTTCAATTATATTCCATTGTTGAAGATTTTAGGTAAAGTAGTTCTTATTTATTTATTGGAGATTTGATTCAAAAGAAGTAAAATATGTCTGGCTATGCTCACCCACTGGTTGTTAATGCGATGAAAAATTTCTGCAGAGAATCACATAGATATATGTCAGTACTATTTGAGTTTTTAATAACAGGTTCTTTTTTTTTTAACGACAAGTCCTGGAGGCGCGATCCAAAGTCTGTCGCTAGAGATAATCTGTTCAACAATTAATTGGCTATCTTATCAAGTTTTTATGATTTACATATAGTTTTTTTCAGGGCTTTCATTTTTAATCTTTTTTCAAAATGCGTTAATTTTTTAGCAAAATTTTTTTCTTTAGATTGCGGCCACCGCTTCCACCACCTTTAACTCCGATATATTTTCTTTATATGTCGTGTTGCCGTACCTCAGAGAATTCTTCTTGCACCTCCAGTTCAAATCATCTACTTGGATCAGACCATCCAGATGTAGATGATAGTGCTAGACGTCCCATTTCACTTCCTCGGTTCGGCAATGTATATAATATTCCATCATCCGATGATTTTTCTACAGATGTTTTCTTTAAGGTACGAAATTTGAAAAAAAGATGGGAAAAACACGATTTAAATGTAGCTCTATATTATAGTCTATATATAGAAATGGAACTAGGTGATCAACAGTTACCCGGATTTTCTTTCGGGTTTAAACAGAAAGTGAAACGAAATCGAACATACTTGGTTAAAGCAATCATCAAACATTTCTCGTATATGTGATTTTTAAAAGCTGCAGGTGAAATCTGTTGAAATATGGTTGAAACATAGAGCCAAACCCATAAATTCTCAATTAAAAACTGTACAACGACTTGAAGAGCAAATGAAAATTTTAATTTCATCATCAAATTTTACTCTCGGAAGTAATTTTTTTCAAATTTATCATTCTTTTTTCATGAAAAATTCTAATTCTAATAAGTGCTCATTATTATTCTCAATTGGATGAAGCATTCATAAGCCAGTCGATCCGAAAATAACGGGAGCCATTCTTTTTCATCCATAATCTGGCCATATCCAAATTCTGATTGCCGTTCTTGCTTTTGTCGTTATTTATCGCAGGACTTGGCAAGCAATGTGCATTCCTATGGCAGAAAACATGTTTTAAGAAGCATAGATGACACTGTACAATGATTGTTTGATACAGCTAGTATTTGAGCGAGATCTTTGCAATAATTATTTCATCGCTAAAAACCACCATTAAGGCCAAGGCTTTTTAATTTTAGTGCTATATTCTAGATCATTCGACTTCTTGGTATGAAGAAATAAAAGCTATTCCATACAATGCTGAGGTCAAAAAAATTTCCATTCTCGACAGATTCACACCTTGGAATGTTCTTATCAAAGATTATTATCCACCGTTATACTGTAAACCAATCGAGTCTTTTCCGCAAGAAATGCAGAAATATGTTGATTCCCTCACTAATCAAGTAAAAACAAAGATTGTTGACCAGGCGAATAAATCTATAAAAGATTGAATGAATCTAATTGTTGTTCCTGGATTATTATGATTGATGAAAATCGTTTAAAATTCTTTCATGGCTTTATTTAATATAAAATGGTTGATGGAAATTTTTTAAAGGCTTTAATGGAAATTTATTCAAAGAAGAGTGTAGATCATGTGATTAGAAACAGAATAGTGATTTTTCCTATTGTTCTTCATTTCTACTGAAAATTCAGAACATGGCAGAAATCAGGAAATATTGGCGCAAGAAGCAGCATTCAAGTTTGTTTGATTCATTAAAATTATCGGAAATTTGCGTTTCGCCATGTGGTATCCCACTTAACCCAAGAGGGCGTCAAGGCATTATGGGCCGCGGTGACCATGTCAAATTTGGTCCAAACTATTATTGTATATATGTGATAATGCATGGTAAACCGTTTACATCTAATGATTTGAAGGTTATTTTTAATTTTTAATTCTTCAAATATTGCTGTTGTTTCGCCCAAATGAATAATCTTAGTATTTTTTTCCCCATTATGATACATTTAGGTTTTAATGGAAGATAAGTCATTACCAACACGATGGAGGTTTGAAATGGGTCGTCGTGATGAATCGTTATCAGAAATATTAAGGAATCTGTCGATACCCGACTCGGACGTTTATGTATTATATATTTTATATATTTTTTTTCACCTAAATTTTCTTAAAATTGATTGAAGCCAGCAGTTTAAATACTGTAGCAATCGAATTAGCAAATTTTCTCGAAATAAGAAATTCTAGCGTAGAGATTTTTTTCATATTCTTCTTTACGTGAAAGAATAAATAGAATTTCTAATTGCAGATATTTTCGAATCAAGGTCTGTTAAATGTCGGTGAATTTGATTCGGGTGTTGCACATGTTGAACGAAGTTGTCGGAATGATCCACGTGATACGGATAATTCATGGGCAGAAAACGATTTATGGGCTGTACATTTAGGGTTGATTTTATTAATTCATAATTAATTTAAATATTATTAGAAGGCATGTCTACAAGTTACTCGGATGTGAATAAATATTTGTGTTACAAATCTCTATTATATAATAGTTAGAATTTATATTGATTAGAAATGTAACAATTCAGAATTTATTGAAGGGACGAAATTATAATAATTATTTTGTTAATATTAAATACACACGATAATAGGCAACATCGGTTTAATTTAACGACCAAGCACATATAATGAAAAGTGCATAATGAACCACAGAGAGGACAGGAGGACCCAGCTCCATAAATAAGCGCAGTTAAACTTTGAGTTCAATAAACCATAACGAATATATGAATGATCTTACCATAATAAAGACGCAAAGTTAAAATTAATCGTTAAAATTTGATTCGTAGATTCATATTTTTGAAAAATTTGGATGATTAATTAAGAGCGCACAGATTCTTCTTGAGTTCTTTCAAAAACTTGAAAATTCTTGGCCAATAATTAATTCTAAAAGCTGGAAGCTGGAAATGTATTCAAGTGATATTGTTAATTTATCAAATAAAACATCGTGATTTGATCTCTGTCCTTGACGGTAGACTTATTAAGAAATCCGGGTGGCTTGGAACGCTGTTTGGCTAAAGCATTTTCAGATTTTTCATAGAAGTGGCAAGCGCTAAATGTTAACTAAATTCTAAAGTTTATTAATTTTAGATCTCGATATATGGAATGTATTCTTCCACAACCCTATTCTTGGCAGTCTATGTATGCGATTTCTTCTTCAGATAAAGAGATGATTCTTAAATGCTCAGAATATTACAATTTGCCTTAATCCATTCAGTATTCTTGAAAATTGAAATATTTTGTCGTTTTATTATGTAATATTATATAATTAACACTTTATATTGCATCAAAAGCATAAATTCCTCAATTTGCTTAATTTCTTAGTTGGAATTCTTATCCCGAAAAATATTTTAAAGCGATCTAAAACCGATAATGAATTATAGAATAAAAAGTCGCGCTGATTCTCGTGTACGCTCCATTTGGTCTGTGAAAAATCGTTTTTTTTATTTTCCTTCCTTTTTTATTATTTATTTACAACAATATTTTATATCTTTGAAGAAATAGGGGCGCCTAACCTTGAGAAGATTTCAAGCTCATTTTTACGTCGATCAGTCTTTATTTATTTTTATTTTGTACGATAAAAGATTTATAAACTTTATTGTTGGTGGCCAGCACCTAACAAAAGCTTTATTGAGAAAATATTAAGAATTCACAAATCTTCAAATCTGTAAAAATTTGAAATGCAATACGCTTTTTTATTCGGAAACATGAGTGATAAAATCATGAAGGATAGTTTGAAGCTCAGTTAAATTATTAATTCTTGTTGTTCGAGCTTCATTTTCACCATCTTCATTTTTCCCAACTTCCAGCTCCTGAAAATGGAACGTTTCCTATTTGGATGGATTAATATTCGCAAGCATTAGTGGAAATAATAGAATTCACCAAGCTAAAAAGCGTTTATTTTAATGATCAAATAATGAAAAGAAACCTCTCGTTGATTTTTTTCTATAAGCCTTAACTCATAATCCCTTCTGGCCCTATTTTCAGCAATTATTGTAAGTGCCATTATTGTTGGTGTTAACAGTGCTGACATTGTGAGTGGATATGTCCACCAAAAATTGCGCTGTAATTGAATGAAAAGAAGCAAGTGACGGTTTTTTAAAATGAAGGATAAATTAAAGTGAGGCAGTTGAGTACCATATGACAAAAGTTTCATGAAGGCTACGACTTTAAGCGCAATAAACACAATACATTGTAGAAATCTAAGATGTTTGCTTTATCCAGGAGATCGCAATCGAGACCATCGTATCCTTCAATACAGTCACAGCGAAAACCTCGTGCGAAGCCGTTGTCTTGTATGCATTTGCCCATCACACAAGTTTTTAAGCCTAATAAAAATAGAGCTGATGAAATATTATAATTACTATAATATAGATATTACAGCAAATTTTTTTAATAAGAGAAAAATAATTAAGTCAAAATTTTGAAAGCCAGGTCGGATATTAGCTGAGTTATATTCAGGATAACTAGACGGTTTTGTCCATTGTATCACGGTGATGTTAAAAAATCCGAACAGCTGTGCTATTGTTCTTCTATTATTAACATCTTTCAAAAATTTCGTATTTTCGTATAACATCCAGAGGGAAATGGTGAAATCCAGTCATATTTTTAAATTGGTAGGACGTCTCACACTATGGATGACAAAAAAAATTGACTATATTATTCTAAAGAACATAGATTAAGAAAAGTTTCGGACCAATTTTCTAATGTAAATTTTCTTTTATGATAATCAAATCAGTATCTTCCTGGTTTTTTTTTGCCTGCAAGTGGTCGTACTGGCTTATCAGTATCATTTTCAAGACTTGGGAAACCCCTCATTTCTTCGAATCTGTTATATTCAAATTAGTATTTCTTCAAATGCTGTTTTATACATGCCAAGTATCCCCATCAAAATGACAAATTCTCTAATACAATTATTTAATACCCATTATTGCTCATTATATTTCCTTTTCACGCCTTTTCCTCTAATTCGAATGCAAATTTTAAAACATGGATCTAATCGTATTATAATTTCTGCTGAAACCTGATCTGAAAAAAATTTTAGAAAAGCATATTGAGGCCGTATTAATTAGAAGTTGCGATGAAAATGTGTAGAAGAATTCTGGAATGATAAACCTAATAATAAGACTTTATAATTGAGCTTGAAAAGAGGTAATATTTCTGCAGCTTTAATTTTTAGCATCAAAAGCACAGAAGGGTTTGAAGGGATGGAATGAGAAAAGGACTAAAAGATATAATATAGCCTAAAGATGATACTAAGAGATTATAATAAAAGAGTGGAGTTTTGGAGAGTTCGAGTGAATAATAAGAGTTGATGAAGTAGTTAGGAAAATATTATTTGGTATGAAGAGTGGCTATGCGAAGTTTAAAAAGATCTCGCTAATAATTTGCAAAGAACAACACAGTGAAATATTGAAAGAAATTGATGAATAAGGGTGCATTTAATGAAAGTGGGGAGAGGGGGAGAGGAGAAAGGGAGGGGGATCTTCGCGAAGTACAGTAGCTCTTAGGGAAGGAGAAGGAGGATTTCGCATGTTGAGACGCATATTTAGAGGTAAATTGTGTACCTATGCTTACACAAGGAGATGTTTCAGATTCACAAAGTTCTCCAGTAAATCCCAGTCGACATTTGCATCTACAATTAAATAAATATTATATCCTTACAACTAATCTTTAGCATAACATTCACATTCAACTGCTTCGGGTAATCATTGTTTTGCATCACTTAAACTTCGTGAACCTCTATCAGAGTCCAAGGATGCAAAAAATTCCATTCTATCCAACCGATTATTGCTGGTTGAAATTATGAACTCTTGTCTGAAGCGCTTTTTATTCAAAAATTCGTTAATCAGTGGAGGGTTATTGTTCGATTTCGATTCCCCGCAGGAATAAACCTGTTCAAAAATCCTGACGGCTCACCTGTATTTCTATCGCCGAGGGACTCCCTGGCATATTGCCCAATGCGACAAGCCTGTGGAGCGAGTTTAACCAGTAATGGTGAGGGTTCTTAAAAAAAAAAATACGATCCGAATTTCGTACAATGTTTCATTTCTTCTAGCTCTCACCATTAGCTCTATTAAGTACTGTGGTAAAGCTGTTTAGTCAGAGGATCGTTCGGAGAAAAAAATGTTTAATTTGTTTAAAAAATGAATTCAATTTACATGTAACTATATTGATTCCGAGAATCTACCACACATTCAGCGCCATTCAAACATTTGTTTCCATAGCAAGCGTCCGCAATTTTATCACAAAATGGAGGTAATGATCCACTAGGGCAAATACACCTGAAATCTCCGGAATTTTTTAGCATAGATATAATTTATAATTGCTGAATTTTAAGTAAAAGAACTTTGCCGACCGATTGAAAGGAAATAAATTTTTTTAGAATTCATTTTCAATTATTATTAGTTAAATTATAAATTACAAATTAAAAGTGTCTTTTAAACAATAACAGAATAGAATATATGTAAATTTTTTGACACACTTTTTTAACAATCACTAAAAAAATTTGTGGGACAAGAATAATGTGAGCTTTCATTGCAATAGTATCATTTCTTTCCCTGATGCTGAAGTTGAATCTTGCATTTAGTCACAAAATTAAACTTCAAATTATTTTCTCCGATTTCTTGCAATATGACAATTCTCATTTTCAACAACGCTCGTACTTATCATATCAAGGTTTTATCACACCATTTTCAACAATACCTTGTACCATGCAAAATCATTGCTTGAAGAGAATTTATCGATTAAATATTTAAATTTTAATTTTAAATCTTTGGATAATTTAGGTAAATATTCTTTCATCTCAAAATTATTTACGCGAAAGAAACTAGAAAAACCTAAATCCACGACTTTTCTCCTCATCATTGCACAGTTGAAGATTCTCTTCGTCCGTTTTATCGCAAGGATAGCATTTACCATTTTCCTTACATTGATGATTTTTACATAAACCAAAATCAGCCAACGAACATTTCATTGCTAAAATTGTTCATAATTAGGCTTTAAAACTGAATGATTAACAAAAAAAAAAATTACGTAGTTCATATTGAAAAATAATATCAGACAATTATACAGACAATTATTTTGATATAAATCATGAAACAATTGATTTTATATTAGCTGATTTTCAAAAAATCCAATATGTCTAAATTCCTCAGGAAATTACTTTCATTATCATGACCACTGAAATCTGGTTCTTGGTTCATATCGCAAATACAGATGTAGCCCAACTCGTAGGATTCTTTTTTTTCAATAGGTAGTGTTACACAGAGACTTCCTGGTGAACACAAATTATATTGACATGGATCCTCAGTTTCACATCTTTCTCCTGTCCAGCCATGTTCGCATCAAAAATTGTTGATTATTTTAAAGATTCAAAATATTCATTCAAACATTCTTTTTTCAACAGAAATATTAAATTTAAGAGATAGAAATTAAGTTTTGAGTAGAATAGAAATAGAACAGAAATTTCTTCGAGAAATATTCCAATGATTTTTGAAAAAATTGGCCTTACTCGCAAATATAATCATAAACTGTTTTAGCAACACAGGAACCATGTTTGCCGCATTTCTCACCTAAATTTAATTAAAACTTTAGCAGAGTTTTTGGCAAAGCAAACCAGAGATGGTGCTAATCACCTATTTACTTTGATATCCTCCACGATTACATTAACGATTACATTATAGACATTAATTAAGCATCTTTACCCAATATAAGGTTTGTATAGAAAATTTTTTCATTATAACGGTTTATTAATGTTCACAAAATGCTCCCAAATAGCATTAACTGCTTGTTCATAGCAAGATGTTATGTTAATTTGCAAATGATTATAATTGCCGATCTAATTATTATATTTCAAAAATTATAAAATGTCGTAGTAAATCGCACCATGACCTCTTGGATCAAAAGAAGTTGGGTCACAGGGTGATGCCACATGTTTCTGGCACAATAATCCTTCATCTAATCCAGAACATCGACACGTTGGAAACAATATTGTTTCTTTACTATCGTCAGCTAAAATTTTCAAGTAATGAATCGCGATTAATTTGTTAAGTTATCAAAACTGCTGTCAGCAAATTGTCGATAAATTCGTTGTTATCAATTAAAATATTTTGAATCAGATATTTGCATAAGAGAGTGCAATTTACATCAAAGGTCGTAATGGCCGTCATTCAAATGCTTAATGGAATAATGGAATCTGGATTGTAGATTTTACAATTATTCAGCATAAAAATTACAGCAAAAATTAGTTGAACTTATAAAAAAGTTAAAGATTAAAGATCACCTTGCTTTCCTTGAATTTCGCACACTCCACCATTTAGACAAAATTGTTTAGGATTGGTGCAAATCGGTTCTTTGCAAGATTCCATTATCTGAATACTATTTTTTTGCTTTCTTATCGCATGAAATTTATGGGTTATGAAGACAAAGTATGGTTTTCTTTCCAGTTTCCAGTTTTGGAAAATGGTGTAAAATACGACTATACCTCTCTCAATTTTCTGTAGAAAAACTTCTGCGAATATTCATCAATACATCTTTCTAAATAATCCTTGATAGGAAGCTTACATGGGAAACAATCATCAAACTGCGCCCTCATTTCGCTGGTAATTTCAATTATTTCACAGTGTTCACCTGAAATAATCTGCGATAATTTGCATTTTTTTATATTTTCAATTTGTCCCTCCATTTTGCAGTTTTCCCTGCAAAATAATTTTACGAGAATTAGGAGAATTTGAAATACACTTAAAGATTATTATTTTTACTCAGTACCGCGAAAAACAGCAGCAACTCCATGTACAGCCCTATCGAGGCATTCACATTTTGCTTTATATATACCAGTACCATCCTCTGTAGTGTCAATTAAAATATTATTACATTTGCCACCATTAAAACATTCGTAATCCATGCAAGGTAATGCGATTTGGCACTTGAAAATAGAAAAATAAAAATAAATAAAAAATAAAATAAAAATAAAAAGTGATGAATGTAAAAATATTCAAAAGAATTTCATAATTTCAAAACAACTAATTCCGATTACCACTTATTTAATTAATAATAAGACATACAAAAAAGTACACAAACATACCCGTTCTCCAGCATAATTGTCGTCGCACAAACAATCGCATTTCATGACACCTGAATGGTTTGAAAGGTGTCCGACACCTTTATGTAAACAAAAATCTTCTTGGCAACTACGTAATTTTTCTGAATATTCGCAAAGAGAACCAGTGTAACCAGGACGACACCAGCATCTATGTCATATATATCATATCTATTCAAATAAGAACTGTAAGAACGATTATAAAGTAAACGGTTGTTCATTTGTGATTTGATTTTCCTATTTGTCAAGTTAGAGCTATTTATTTTCTTTGATGGCTTCTCACTTGGATTTTTCGAATCACCGAATCATATTGTCGGATAAAAATTTAAGACTTCCCCATCTATTTGTTCCATTTTTCGAAAAATTAGATTTGAGATTTCTTTGGATAGATTTGTTTTAATTATTTAATAAAGTAAAACCCGAGATTTGTTGTACTAATGATATATATATTAGAGCAATATCCACCGCAAATGTTAGTTTTCTTATTATTCAAGGCAATTATTATTAAATAATTATTATTGCCATTATCAACTATTAATTTCGATCTATTGTAAAACTTACTCATACTGTACACTTTGTATTATTCCGGATTTTTTAAAATTCGGATTTTCAGCATTTATCTGCGATTTATCCTTATTAACAATGATTTGATTTTTTTCTTTTACACTAAAAAAAATTCCAAAATTTTTAATGTTATTAAATTGTGTTAAATTGCATTTTAAAAAATTTCCATTATGATTTCCATTATAATTTGTATGATACTGAATACAAATTTAGACAAATAAACTAAAATCTGACAATTTTAATCAAATCGATTAATATAGAATTAATGTACCTATAACAGATGGCACCATTTTGGCAAAGATTATTTTCACATGCACTTTTATTCGCAAGAAATTCACATGTTTTCCCATAAAATTCTTCTGAACATTGGCAGTAGTATCTGACAATTTTTAAATTATTAGATTTTTGACAGAAATATGGAAATTTATGAATGAAACGTGAAGAATAAATAAGAATAAAAAGAATAAATGACCGTTTCCGTAAAATAAGCTGAGCCATATTTTAGCAATTTTTATGCAATTTACTTTTTGAAGAATTTTTTTCGAACTAGTCAATTGAATTGTTATTTATTAAATTGTTATTGTACAGTGAAATGCTGAATAACATACGCTCCTTGATGTGCTATACATTTTCCACCGTTTTGGCAAAGCTGTGTAATCTTGCAAGGATTGAAATTTTGCGCTCCTGACTCGAATGCAGCCAGTTGATATTTTTGCTTTGGCTCTGGTATCTTTGGAATTTTCGGCATTCTGTGATATTTACGAAGAAAAGAAACACCATGAGGGAATTCTGAAATCAATTTTTTGGCATGCACTGTTCTAAAAATTACTAGCCTTAAAGATTAAGAAAATTGGCCAGTTTGAATAAAATAAATAAGAATTTAAATTAAATAATTACTTTCACTCGATGATTTTTTTCGCCATCTTTTTACCTCAAAAGTGAATCCTTCAGTGACGACAAACAGCTGATCTACAAGGAATTTTTGTTTTTTAAATTCTCGAAAGTAAAGCACTTAAATCACTGCATAAAACATTTATTATGGAATGTAACATTTAATTTTATCGTATTTCTTTAATGAAATGTTAAGCTTTAATTAAAAAATATGAATTTCATGATGATTTCGTTACACCAGTGCCTCGTCAGAATGCTTGTAATTGCATATAAATAATTATAATAATACGATTAAATTCAACTATAAGTTCAATCGCGCTATTGGGTAAGAATGGTCGAGTGGTGCAGTTTCTCCGATCTGTATTGAGTATCAGAAGCTGAGTTCTTTTACATTGATAGGAGTAACTTATCGTTAAAAAATCCAGTTTGCTTTAGTCCATTTTACCAAGTGATTTCCTGCTAAAAATTTCTAACCGTATTAATAGCCAGAGGTGCTAGTCTTCTTCTTCTTCTAACACCATTATTGTTTAGGCTGGCTCCGCTAGCTATAAAGATAAGGATAAGATCACCAAGCTGCTCAGTTCAATCACTGACAGTAAGCCATTCCTTTTTCCATCGTCTAAGTCCATATATCGCTGGTCCCCCTATATGTTCAAAATTTTTCCTGACTGTATCAGTCTAGGTCTTGATTGGCTTTCTTCGCTTTTAACGCCAACTATCACAAGGTTCGGCAATTAGCGAAATATATGTCAACTCCTGTGGGCGACGGAGAACGCGCCCTAACAAGTGAACGCTCTATGATAATATTATTAATACAGTCATGTGTTATTTGAGCGAAGTTAAATACAATCATGTGCGATTTTATCCGCTTCATGGTCAGATGTAAAGTTATCTTGGACATGAGTGGTCAAAGGCTGATAGCTTTTTAATATATCTTCCACTCTCATTGGCTATGTTTCGCAGCCATATAGCAAGATCAAGCGAATTGCAGCTATATGGACGCGAATTTCCGTCTTTATGGTGATTCGTGACGATTCCATAAAGATTTCATCAATCTGAAAAATATTTCTAGTTGTCCAGGCTACAATTTTACAATTTCTTCCTTTGCATGGTCATTTGCGATTAAAGTGGATCCAAGATATTTAAAGTCAAGTACTTCCTCAACCGGTAATGAATTGATAAAAATAGGTATTTCATCAGCATCTTCTATATGAGACGAAAACACTTTCATTTTATTTACATTGATTTTGAGTCCAATTCTCGCTGCAGTTGTCGACACATTGTTTAAATAATAAATGAATATTAAATAATAATTGTTTAATAAATGCAAATAATGTGTCGACACATTATTTGCATTTCATTTATAGCTATCAGCAAAAAGGACTGCATCATTAACGTATTCGAGATCTGTGATGCTATGCTCTGGACTGATTTGTGCACCTCTTGAGGGCCGACAAGCGGTGTCCGTTATCCAGTCTATCGCATAGTTGAATAAGGAGGAAAGGACGCAGCCCTGACGGACACCAGTTCTTATATCGGAGGATTCTGTCAGTTCTCCATATACATAGACTTGCGCCAGAGTATACTAAAAAATGCCTTTATGAATCGAGTGATCTTCTCTGGGATACCGTCACATTTCATCATTTTCCAGAGTGTTGCTCTATCAATTGAAGGCAGTTGCAAAATCGATAAAGTAAGTGACGGTGAGTTGTTGGTATTTGGAGCCATGTTCCAGCACCCTTCTTAGCATAAACATATGGTCAGCACAAACGTGTCCCTGTCTGAATACAGCTTAATTTAGACGCATTCTACTATTTCGTGTTGCTATGATGAGTCTATTTAGTAGAAGGGATCCTAAAATTTTTTCGAAAATGTCTGATAGATTTATTCTTATTTTTCTTAGGAATTGGAAGTAGAATTGCTTTCCTCCAGTCTTCTGGCACCATTTTACAATACCAGAGGGTACATTTGTAATGTAAACGATGATGGACAATACTTGGAAAGTCTTGAAATAGCCCGAAGACCATTTTCTCTGGGAGTTTTATTGGCCTCATGGATTACAAAGATTATTTTCTCTTCTCTTGACGGTTCGCAGTTACAAACGCATGGCTCGAGGAGCGAATCAGCCATATCTGGACAGATGGCGTCATGGTTAAATTTAGCCGCAAAAAAAATTCTTTCCAGGCAATCTAGAGGTGCGAGTCTAACCAGAAATGAATAATAACCATTTAATTCTTTTTTACTATTTCTATCAAACAAAGAGATTAAATTTCTAAAATCTATTTCTCGCAAAAATTTCTTGTTCATTCGAGAGTAATAATGACGAAATAAATTTTAAAAATAAATTTACTTAAAAATAAGCCGAAATAAATCAAACCGCTTTTCATTTTAATTTTGCGAAAGAATGACAAAATTTTTCACGATTATTGTCCAAGCATCAGTCAAAAAACTGTTTTATGCAACAAAATAATTCAAATAAGTTTGATAAAAATGATAATGATAATCAATTAAGAGCTGGAATGATTCAGTCAGATAAGAAAGAATAGACCAGTGATATATAGGTCAGTTCCTATTATTTGCAAATATACAGATGGCATTAAACGCCTTGAAAATGCCTTTAAGCCAGCGGAGCCAGCCTGCGTCAGCCTACTGTTGGTGCAATCTTTTAAAAGAAGAAAAAACAAATGACAACATTATTCAGGAAACAACCAGGAAATTCAAAAAAAACTCTCAATGATATATTTTCTTTGATTAATTCTGACCTGAAGAATTTTTCTTTTTCTAGTAGCCATTTTTGGTTTTCCTTGCTCCATTGGCTACTAATGCTTTAATAAATTAATTATCTTCTCTGGAATACCAGATGTTGCAGTGGCTTGCCAGAGCCGAATCTACCGAAATAAAAGCAGTGGCAAGGTAAATAATGGTGAATAATGGAATAATGGTGAAACAATATTTTAATACCATTCTTTGTATAAAATTTCGGCTAGCATAGCCACATCTTGACTTGCTAAGGCAAATCTTAATGCATTATTATGAAGCTATTGAGCAGAAAAAACCTTTCAAGAAATATCCAGTAAACTGCTCGATAATTATTATATACCCTATCATCTTTCTTGGGAATTGGAAATAGAAATGCTTTGTTATAACAGTATTGGATTTTCTCCATCTTCCATACTAGTGAATCTTTGAAAGTGTATTGTAAAGGGTAGCATTTGAAGAATTCAGCTTATCTTTTCCGAAAGTCTTATTAATCCTATAAGTCATAGAGATTACCCATGTTCGACTAGTGCTTCGTATGAGGTATTTGATGGACATTTTAGTCTAGATTTAAAGAATTTTCTCTACGGAAAGTAAAGATTGGGACGAGAATCAGATATAAAATCAACACAGATTTTGCCTAATCGTTAAACAATAGCAATTTCAAAATTAAATGCAAATAGTTCTTATAAAATGCCAGGGAATATGCTGTTTATGCGGCAAATTAGAAGGTAAAGTTCAGGTATTTGTGCCATTTGCCCTTGACAATTTTTTAAGAAAAAATTGGACAATATGAAAGCTGCGATATGAAATAAAATATGAAATATGCCAAGTGGATTTTTATCAAAAAATTGGAACTTTGTTCATTTATTTTATTAGTAATCAATTGTTTAGTTCAATATTAGGTATCAACTACGGCAATAAAACGATTGAAGGTTCTCTAGGCTATGCAGTACTACCGTTAGTTAGAATGAATTGATTTGGATGAGCGAGGAAAATTTTTTTGCAACCATCTAAACTATGCAAGGTCTCTGAGAGTTGTTGTATTCGGATTTGATTGCTTTGATAAAATATGAAATGTAAAATCATTTTGGAATCTTTTTTCCTGTCTTTTTCAGATAATTTGGAGAAATTTTTTGATTCGATTTTAAATTTCTTATAAGGCCAATACTATCCACTTACCCCAGTCAACAATGGCTCGCATTTCTTTTCCAGCTCAGAAAAGTTATATCAAAAAAAATACCAGATGTCCAAATCTCATTATGATTTGGTTTCATGAAAGGCAAATCAAACCATCATTAGATGAAGTAGGCTATGGTCTAAAAAAATTCGTATGAAATGTGTAGTTTCACGCCTCAGTATGGAAAGTTCTGACTTAGGTAGATTAGATAGAATGGCTCAGTAATTTTTTGTCCTCATTTCGAAACACTGGTGCTGGATTTTATTCCCGTAGGAATAAATTCTTTTAAAAATTCGCCCAATGGTGAACATCTATCTCTAAATGAGTCCCTGGCAAAATTTATGTGATCCAGCAAGCTAACAGCCCAACCAGAAGTGGTAAGAGCTCTCAGGAAAAAATAATTTGGTGAAAAAGCTAGGCTTTGGGTAAAGAATCGAGGAAGATAAGCTGATGAGATAGAAGAGAAATTATTGCCGTGCTTTTCATAAGTTAGTCTGCAAATCTTTGTGTTTATTTTCGTCTTCAATTTTTATTCATCGAATAATTCTTAATAGAAGTTCTTGTAAATAATGTATTTTCAATTTTACTTGCGAAAATAATGAAGTGTTTCTGTGCTTTAGATGCATTTTAACGTTGTGATTAACTTTTCGATTCCGAAAACATTTAATAGATGGAATCATACAAATATTTCAATCATCTTTATAACTGCAAAAACGAGATAAAAACCATTTTGCTGGTGATCGCAACTTATCGCAATCATTTTGATAAATGGAGATTTACTGTAAATAAAATATGTGGAATAATTTTTTTTTGCTTTGCCAATAGTCTTCTAGCAATAATTTTATCAACTCAGCTATCTGCTTGTGGATTAGAATCTGCTTCATATCTCAAAGAAATGTTCATTCATCATTTTTATTTGTACTACCGAGTGATTTATTGGTGTATGCTTGGTCAGCATTTTACATATTTGTATGATATTAGATATATTA